AGCAAAAACTGGAGAAAAGTGCAGCGTCTCAGACGTTGGAGAAGATGAAGATCAAGAAGTCGAAGCGAAAATAGACGTGAAAAGCACAAAATGGGCAGCCCACTAAATATAGATTACGTTCCACAATTGGGTCTATGGACACATATGTATGTATGTATGTGTGTGTGTGTGTGTGTACGCCTATGTATAGGCAAAAACATATACGTGCAAACGCATGTTTATATCTTCTGTTATATGGCTTGTATTTGTATACAAACCAGGTTTTAATAAAATGTATGTAACAGGCAGAAGGAGGCGTGGCAGACCCCATAATATATATGTTATTGATCAGGATGAGAGTATATGCGCGATGCATATGCAATATTGGTTCGAATCTCGATGTCGTAATGTCGGTTTATTTTGGTTTAAAACTATATATATTGCTGAGATCAGGGTATCACCTAGTCGGGCACCCCGACTAGAAATTTCTTGTTTTGCTTTTATGTCAATTCGATTGATATTTTCGGCTAAAGCTTATGCCTGCGCATTTTCTATCTCGGTCCCTCTCGCTCGCTCACTCGCATTCGCGGACGAGAATAAAAATAAAATAGAGTAACTGAAAGAACGAAAGAGCAAAGCAAACTCAATAGCAGACGATGATGAATAAGACGAGCAGGCGAAACAAAGGCAGCTTAAGTGGAAGAGGACTGGAAAGGGGGAAGTTAAACAGTAGACAAACACTCAGACACACACACAGAGACAACAGAAATTTTCATACACAACCTCAAAAACAAAACAGCCACAGCAATTGAGTCGCGATAGAGGGGGAAGTATGTAGGGGACTCGGTGCAGCGGGTGTGGAAACGAGAGCGGTACATACATTTCTGGAAACAGTCGCACCATACTTCATGGTATATCATAAAATAATGGCGTGATAGATTAGAATTAAAAAATAAAATATAATGAAATTAGTTAGCAACAGATATTTATCGTAAGGAAGAATCGGTGCCTGTAACGACCTCATCTCTAGGCCCGGTCTGTTTGGGTGCATGGTCAGGTGCCGTGGCACATACCCAGCCACCCATTCACTGGGCAATTTTGAACCAAATATGGAAAACGACGAGCGATTCAAAATTATGCGGAAGCCAAGCAGACATGTAGCTCAGCACGTAAACATTTTACTCCTATCAAGTACTTCACAATGAAGACTGTCTACAGCTGACTCAGTCCCTGAGTGTGCGTGTGTGAGTGTGCGTGTGTGCGTGTGTGAGTGTGCGTGTGTGCGTGTGTGAGTGTATGAGTCTGCGTGTGTCTTGATTATATAATGCATTGCAATTGCACTTGAACCACCATTCAGATCACAGATCCACGGGTAGGCTAATAAAATTCGCCTTCACATTAACATTAACATTTTTTTTTTTAAATATATGTTTGTTTATTGCAGCTAATAGTTATAGGCTTTATAGCACATTTAGCTCGAAACCTTATCTAATGAGTGCGCCCATATGCCTGTGTCTCATGTTAAATTGTGCCCTTAATGCTACTAATTTAACTAATTCTGCGATGGTCTAGCGGGTGTAATCTCTTAAGCCTTCGTCTATTGTTTTTGATAGCCAAGTTACTTGCGAGATGGTTCGGATACGCCGCCAGTCTGTCCGCGTATCTTGAGCTGTGTCACCCAATGGGTTATGCGACTGTAGGAATTGATAAATCCCTATGTAAAGCAGTCGCCGCCGATGTGGGGTTTATTCAATCTTTGGTCAAGGCCCATGCACACGCACACAGTGGAGCATGGAAAATCACAAAAATATGAATGTTTCAATAGATTTCGGATCTTGAACTCTCGATGGAGCTCTGAAAAATGCAGATTGTATATATGTAAAATGCGTGCATGTATGTATGTATGTATATATGTATATATGTATGTACGACTACGTATTTACGTTTGTATGCATTTATTTATTGTGAGCCGCACTTGATATCTGAGACTTTGCCAACAATCGCACAATCAACACAATCGTTAGTCATGTTGTTGTTGTTGTTGTCACCCCAGCAGCTGGAAGTCAAACTATTTTCCTTTAATTTAATAAGATAATTGCTCTCGCACACAGCCAGAGGCAGACGCAGACGCAGATGCAGCAAGAGCAACAGCAAAGCCGACAGGGCTGGAGCAATGAACGTTGCGGTCAACTTGTCGTTGTCTGCAGCAGTGTTGCAATTGTTATTGTTGTTGCTGTTGTCGCGACAACAGACATATAAAAATAATACCAAATGCCCGGGCGCAAGAAATGTAAGTCAAGCGTCAAGCAAAACAGCACAAAAGAGGGGGAAAAATCAACTGAAAACCGGGAAGGAATACAAGTCCAAGGCTGGATACCCTTTCAGGCGGTAGCTATGTATGTATTATGGGCATATGCAAAAGTCCATTCTATTCGATAATCGATATAAATTGATTAATATCGACGATTGCTAGACGCTATGAAATGCTTACAACTTGTACTAGCTAAAATTATCGATCAGTTATTGAATGACTACGTATCGATATGTTTATTGAACTCAAAAGGAATATGGCGAGGCACTTCGATATTTATCGATTGCTTTCTCTATGTGTTTACCTATTTAATGGAAGGGACACCTCTGATAGGGCAACATGCAAACACCACTCACTCTCTGACTCACTAATTGTTTCTGTGTCTCTTCTTTTTTTGCAGCTGTCTCGCACGTTTGACAACAAGTATCAAGTGCCGCCCGCCATAATGGCCATCTATGTAGATTTAGCGGATAAGACTGAATTTGAGGTGCACAATGGTCTCTTTCAACAGAATCGTGTCAATATGTTTATGATCGACGGACACCATGGCAACAATCAGGTGGAGTTAACGGCGAATTTTCTAGGTGGAAATCTGGCTGGCTATCCCGATGTTCAGTTAGTCAATGTGGGGCACTCTTTCCTGCGTCCTGAAGCTTTTTCAAGTGAGTGAAATGTCAGGAATCGACGTATTTGTATATATATATATATATATATGTATGGATGACTTCAACTTATCCAAATGTGTAGAGTTTTAAATGTGATTAAGTTACAGTTATTAACGTTATCCTATCTCCTCTCTTTATCTTAAGATGGAGAGAGCAAGCTGAATATAGAGAACAACAAATACGTAGTATTATATGAAGACTGCTTTAAAAATATGAACATGTCGTGCACTTTGACGAACATCGAGACTCTGGTGATCAACGAGAAGAACTATAATCCCAGTACTGATCGCAGCTCGAATACTAAAGTGAGTACATATAGAGATACATGTGGAGTAGATTTTGATATCAAATATATCATTTACTTTGAATGCAGCTAATTGTCACCAATTCGCACATCGAGAAGTTCGGTCGGACCGATTCGTCGATCAATAAAATTTCGTTTATAAATTGCACGATCGGCGTGATTCAGACCTGCGCCCTGGATGTGACCAACATGAACCAGATCTCATTCCACCACTGCCGAATCCGATGGATCGAGCCGATGGCCATCACAAACAAATTGCGCAGCGAGGCAATTACTTTCATAGGCAATGAGATCGGCACAATCGACGGTCAGGCCATCATGGGCAGTGGAACTTCCACCTTCACATTCCACAACAATACGTAAGTATGAGACAAAGCGTGGAATAAGCGAAACATTATATGTGGAACTTGCTGATATTTATCAACCACATAGCTGGCTTAGGTAAATACTAAAGCTTGAGGAGTTTGGTCTAAGCAAGTCGAGCCACGTTTCCTACTCCAATTATAAAATTTATAATCGACACGAACAAGAGAATGTCCTTAGCCCAGAATAAATAAGTAGGAGTTGAAATAAGCAAATGCCTTTTATATAATATAAGTAATGTTCACTTTTCCCACTTTCTCGCAGCATCAACGAAATAATGGATAATGGCATAATGGTGCACTGCGTAGTTGCTTCGATAGTTGGCAATTCGTTTAAGAGCTTGGGCAATAATTGGATCCAAGTGAAGAACTACGAGTCGGTATTGGTGAAGGATAATCATTTCGAAACCTTTACGCCCATCCAGCTGAACGGGGATCACAGCATGCGTACGAGCTGTACGTTCGAAAACAATTCGATTAGGAATCCGCTGCCGGGCAGTCTCAACTTCGACTGCGAGGTGCGAGCCACAAGTGTGGATCATATCTGTAGATGCGATGATCTGCAGCAGCTGATGCCCACACTGACCGATCACGATATTAGTTCGGAACTATATTGCCAATTGCCCGATCGCCTCGCGAGCTGTTTTAATGTCAGCCAAATGCATATGCGACGCTACGCTAATGAGGTTTGCGGCAAGAATCAGACCAGCCTGCGTTGCCTCAATGGCAACACGTTGGAACGCGACAACGACGGCTTCTTTACGAAGCAGGAAATTGAAGAGCGCCGAAGGGGCTACTCAATCGGCACGATCGTAGCAGCATGTCTGATAATGTTGGCAATTGTTGCTGCAATTATATTGTGTTGTGCAGCACTATGGAAAAGATTCCTAAACAAGAATAAGCAATACTGCAGCTTATCCCCCGAGAATCTTGAAAAACTGCAACAAAAAATTGAGCTTTTACCGAAAAACACGTCAAATGAGGCGATTAGGAAGCACCTCAAAAAACTAATTAACAGTAAGCACACCGTCCAGCAATGTCACGCGCGAATCATAGAATTGATAAATATCAAGCGGATACCAAAAGATATAGAACAAATACTCAAAAGACATCTGGAATACGATCCGAATCATTGCAATCCCAACAACAACGAAAGTAACAATGAAGCTTTATTGCTAAACAACTCAAATAAACACTCAACCGAAGAGCCAGTAGTCCAGGATTATTCGGAGCCCATGCAATCAATTAGTATGTGTGACCATAAAACAACACAAGACTATTAAAAAAGATATATAAGATATATATATATAAATATATATATATATAAACAAGTTGACTATTTATACAAAGACCTAATATTAAAATAAGTTATAAGAAAATTGATCCATAGGAGAGCCATACAAGGATGCTATTGTATTTCTAATAGAATCCACATTCAGTCCACATAGCAGCTATACAGTCGCCGTCGAGTCCCAAGCTGCAGCTTAGTCGCACTCGAAAGAGTTACGTGAGCGATGCAAATACAATGTAAAATTGAATGACTATTTACGTCCGATATTTAATGTTGTTCCATATGACTATCAGTCTGTTTCTGTTGCTTCCATATTCTCCATCTTATCTCTATGTAACATTTTTTCCGTACTCATTTTTTCGTCATATCTATGTCGCTCTGCCGCTCTCCATTGAAAATAGAAATTCAGCTTATGTTCTTGTGCAAATGTATGCAACAGTCAGCCCTATATATATATATATATATATATATATATATATATATATATATATATATATATATATATATATATATATATTCCCATTAAGATAGAGCCTGTCTTTTGACAACTCAACTTCGACATTTCTCACATGTGGATGTCATTATACCGATCTGTGTTAGAGGAAGTGCGTCTCGAATAAATATTTTTCACTAATTCATATTCCATAACTCAGGTCATACTAATTTTACTCTGTTTCAATATGATTTTAATCTGATTTAATCTGATCCAGTTGCAGATGAGGACGACATGCCACCCGCCTACGAGGCCATCCCAGAGTATGCCACTCCTTACCGCTCGCCACTACCTCCATCCCAGCAACAGCAACTGCCGTCCACAAGCATTGCCGCCTATGCCACCTATGCCACATACGCCACGCCCGTTTGGCGCTCAACACCCCATGCCGCTCCTATCAGTGTACCGCCCACAGTGGTGACTGTGCCGCCAGAGCTGCCACAGAGGCACATACGCGACTCACAGCACAATCAAATGACATCGGCTCGGAACAAGAGCCAACTGTCATCACATCATCCAAGCCACACCCACAACACCAGCAGTAGAAAGGAAACCTTTAAGTATTTGGATGGGGACGCCAGCTTTGCGGCCATGGAACACATGGATATGCGAGGCGCTGCTACCTTGCCGCCGGACAGCAACTCGGATCATTCCGGCGGAAGCAATGAGACTGTCAAAATCGATGATATGCAATACGCTGATGCGTAACCCTTCGTTACGGCTCTCTTACATGTGATCAATTAGGTTTACAATCATAATTATAACAAGTACATATATATGACACAATATTAACACTAATGCTCAGGCACTAAGCAAATTTCGTTTCATATATTTATAAAAATTGTACATTATCATTAAGAAGTAAAAGATGTACATACTAGAAACCTCGATCGATCTGTATCCTTGCGAATATTCACAAAAGACATGGTGATGCAGAGGTCTAGAACTGGGATCATCACATAAAATATCAAGTTTTGTATAAATTGAAAGGTTGAGTCGATCACTCCCCACTAAAGTCAAGTTTGTGAGCTCTAAATTGGGTAAAGTATGAACAAAGGGGATAAGAAAGAAGTCTTTAAAGAAAATTGAGAATTTTTGAGAATTCGAACCGTGACACTCTCGCATGGAAGGCAAAGAAAGCTATTCATACTTTAAGTCTGCATTGATAATTGAAATCGAAATATATATATATATATTTGACTGCAGCTGTTGAGCCCGACTGTTTTTATTTTCAAAACAATTTGAAAACGAATAGGAATGAATGCGACAATTAACATTTTGCGCTGTGTAAACAATTGGCAATTGGAAGCTCTGCGTTCCAAGCTATCGACACTGACTCATCCATAGTCGATGCCTTATCGGGCTGAAAATGCTTCGGTTGCATAAACAAAAGCCGCTTCGCGTGTGGCATACTTATTAATGGAGATTTTTCCGCTCTAGGCAGGTCTGATTAAATATATATATACATATATATATATATATGTATATGGATATGTATATATCGGATGTATATGATTTGTATTTTAAATTCTTGAATAACTTGATTTACAAGCGCCGATGTTATTTGTTGTTTTTGCTTTGTCGCGGTCAGTAGAATCAGAGAATATGTTAATAGCATAGCCCTGAGACAATTGTTCATAAAAAAGCAAGCACTTTTAAGATTTGTATGTTATGCATACTTAAAATAGCTCAATATTTATCTCGCTTTATCGGCAATGATGCTATTTAACAGCCGTAGCTGTAGCTTGTGCTGCCAGTTAACATTGGCTTAGCAACGTATGTTTAGCTAAGTCTGGGGTTGATACTATGCTGCTTACAGCAAACACTGTATGTTATGTAAAGTTAACATTATGTTATTTCCATAGTCTTGGTTATCGAGTTGCCAAGCAATGATTGATCTTCACAAACTCGGTAAGTGGCTGCTTGGCCCGGGACGTACTTGTCTTTTGCGGGGGCATCTTATACACTAACAACAACAGTGGCAACAACAACAACAATAGCGACAGCAAGTGTCAAGCAATGCGTGTCAGGCTGACGCGCATTCAATTAAACGCGCCGCGAGCAATCAAAGCAACAGGCAAAGACCACCAACTAGAAACGTTGCAGTTGTCCGTCACCGACTGTGAAATACTCTGTAACTACCTTAAATATTCAATGAACTTGAACTTAATTTCGATTTTGTGGAGTGTGGTCAATCCTGATCGTAAAGCTATGCATATTTGCACATATTCGTATGTGAGGCATTCTGTGCGCCAACACTTAATACCAATATGCTCACATTCGCGTAATGTACAGAGTATACAAACAAACAAAAAGGCAAAAGACAAACAAAACGCAAAAATTCTTAAAGCTTGCTAAGCTACGCAGCGGCAGCGGCATCCGCAGTCGCAGCTGCACCGGCGCTGTTACATGCTCAGCGCTTAGTGCAAGCGAGAAAGCAACACAACGGGAGAGAAATATTAAGCGCAGTCGACTTCTGCTGGTACTGCTGCGGCTCGTAAATGTTTCGTTGTTCCGTTTTGGCGCTCAGTTTGACATTTGCACGCGCTTACGCCGGTCGCGACAACCGAAAGCTCAGGCCTGACCGTGGGTTAGCTGTTGTTGTTTTCCATTGCTTACGTTATATTTGTGTTTTTAAAGCGGCGCTGATTTTATTTTGTGCGCTGATTTCATAGCTAATGCAAATATTTGCGCTTAACTGTTGGCTGTCAAATACTTATTTGGGTTTTTTGTTTATATATGTGCGCATAGTTAATAATATCACCTTATGTGTGTGTCAGTGTATGTCGCCCAAAAGTACAACAAAAAGTGCAAAGCTATAATACTACAGCAGCACAAATTTCATATTTTTCAGTATTTCATTTTGTTTTTGCATGTGGTCACTGCTGCCGTTAAATACACACAACAGCAAGCATGTGAGCACAGAGCGGGCAGAACGAGAGAGTAAGAGCGCGAGCCTATGCAAACAGATCGGTGAGGGCTGGCAGCGACGCAAGCATTGCAGTTGCTAAAATGTTTAGCAAAGCGCATTTCTTTCGTTTTTGACAGGATTATGCATGGTGACTCCTGCGCTAACGCTCTGTCGTTCACTCTCTCTCGCTCTCGCTCTCGATATCGTCAAGCAAAATATATATATGTGTGTGTGAATGTGTTGCGTAAGCTAGTGGAAATAGTGAACTGAGATCAGACGCCCCCACACATGTAAGCAAAACAAAACAAAATAAACAAGAGCACTAAAAAAGACCGTTTAGGGAATTTGCAAGTGTGAGCGAGGGCCGCACTGTTAAGATTCGTAAAGAAAGGCGCAAACATGGCAAAACAAATGAAATTTCTACGCTAATTCGCGTATTCACATTCTTTTGTATTTAGGTAAGACAATATCTCCCTTCCTCACACACACACACACCAATTGAAAGTTGTCAAATAAAAACATCGGAAATGGCATCTTGCCATACCCAAAGCTAATTATTTCGATATTTAGAGGTTAAAAGTATTATGTACAAAATGTATTTTTAGTTTGTTGCTGGACAATAAAAATCTGAAATTTATTAAAAACCTGAAATTAGCGTACAGCAAAAGCAAAAAGTAACAAAAACTATTAAAAACAAAACAAAAATCAACATTCAAAGTCAAAGTATGTTCAAGCTTAGCAAAAATTGCCAAAAAAAAAACACAAAAAATCACAACAAAGCTTTGCAGCAAAAGCCCAGAATACATACATACTTACATAAATACATACATACATAATACATTCATATAAACATATATACATAAATATGTATGTATGTAGTTATGGCCCATTAGCCCAAGTCAAGTGGTCGGCATATTGTGCCAAATGGATAGCACCTAAGAAACTGCGCTTTGATTGGAAAATGTAAATAAGTGCTTTAATTTTGCTGTAAACATGATTATATGATATTGGGTAAGCGTCATAAGCTTTCACTTATTGTTTATAAAGCACACCATGAATGACCCAAAATTTAAAAAATTAATTTAAAGAGAAAATGTTGGCTATATTAACAATAATAGTCCAAATTTTAAATCCTACCAAGACAATGGTTCGAAGCATGAGAATTTTAATGTGCGCTCTTGGATTCTTTATAGTGGTGGCAAGGTTATTCCACTCAAGAGTCCCGATCTGTGCATCATTGAACATGTTTGTGTCAACTTAAAGAAAATAGTGGGAAATCGGAAATCAGGAAAGCTGTTTTCCTAGAAGAATATCTAACAAAGTTGGTGCATTCAATGAAACAACGCCTCCAATAAATGATATTCAATATCAAAATTAGTAAATATTCAAATTAGCACAACTTGTTTTAAATTTTAAGTTTAGGTCAATCAAAGTATTTTGTCTAAATAGTTTCTTGACAGCGTGATAAATTTGTAATTTTGGTTTTCTGTTATTTATTTTATTACTAAATTTCACTTTTCATCGGGTCTTTCTATCATTTTATTAAAAAGATTCGTTTATTTGAATAAGACGCTTTTATTTTTGCAACGAAAGTAAAAAATTGTATTGTTTTCCAGTCTGTAAAGAGTTTCTTTGCAAAAACTGTATGTAGATTATGTCATGTTGACGTGTGTCGAGTGTCAATAACGCAGTGTTATTCGATTTCTCAAATCGGGACCGATCTGCTTTGCGAATTCTTTCGACATGCTGACGAAATTTGTCAAAACAATGAGCGATTAAAGGCCTAATAGCTTTTATTACCGCAATATGTGTTTTAACGGTAACTTAAGCTTAATAAAAAATTAAATTTGTGTTAACAATTAGAGTTTAGCATTGAGTAAGTCTGCTTAGTTATTCCGAATTATGGTATTTTTATTTTGAGACGCATAAAAGAAACTTCAGTGAACAAGAAATTTCGTAAGAGTTTTTTTTTAATCATTGAGTCAGTACTTATCTAATCGATGTTTCCGATGATAAGATTACTTTATATTGCGATAAGCCGTATATTCAACATTTGTCACTGGGGCAGGGCCTCATTTTATATTTGCAGTCGGGAAAAGAACGAGGTGTTGCGCAGGAAATGTCAATCTGTTTTTATTCAATTTCCTATGCGTAAGTACGATTCAATAAATTAATTAAACAGCTAAAGGGTTCTCCAAAGCCCCAATTTAAGTGCGTGTCTGTCTCGCATCCGTTGCTTAGCTGCAAGCTGTTTACTCAAGTAGAAAGTATTTAACAAGCATCTCATTCTCCCTCCCTTTCTCTATCGCTCTATCTTTCTTTTGAGCTGCCCGACTCTTTTAGTGCATTCGAATTTATGTTGGTTAGCTTTTAATATCCTGAACCCATTTAAAATGGGAATTATAATCTGAATTGTGGCTTTGTGTAAGAGACATGGCGAATTCCTTGATCACGACCACGAGATTTTTTGTTTTTCGATAACTGATCATTTATTATTGCCGATAAAAATCGATAATTTTACTTCGTTTTTAAGCTGAACTTGAATACCACAATAGAAAGAGGCTTTTGAAATGAATATGCAGATTTTATATATTTTGGACTTTGAATACAAACACTAGAGACTTGTGATTAGGCTAACACAGACATATGAATGTCATTATGTCATTGAATAAGAAAGTCCATCTGACAGAAAAATTTGTTTAATTAAGCCTATATGTTGTATAAGAGAATCGTAGATGGATGGACAGGGTTCAGGGTATCTCATAGTCGAGCAGGCTCGATTAGGACACTCGCAAACTAGCCCCTACTCAAACACTTAACATAACTTTTTAGTTTTTTTTACTATAGTTAATTATATATAGCCATTGATCAATTCTTCTTTTTTGAACATATCGAAATATTTCAATATCACTAAAAGTAATCAATATCGAACTGAGCAGCTGTAAGCTTTACTATATACTTGAGCGCAACTTTCTGTGCACAGAAGAAAAAGATAGAAACAGGGCAGGTGGAGTGAGGCACACACTATCCCTCCATCTCGCACTGCCTCTATCTGCCTCTTTTACGCACACCAGACAGCTGTACGATGACAAAATTCGTTTGAATTAAGTTCTATAAACAAATGAAATGACCATAAACAAATAGAAAAGCATAATTGCTCATGTCTGCTTGCTCTGTGTGTGGATCGGAGGCCTATTTGAAAATGGGCTCTCTGTGCGATGACCTCCAAAACTCAATTAACAGTATTTCGCGCTGATTGGAGCCGAACGATCACTAACTCAGTGAATATATGCATTGCACTATGATCAGTGCCGTTAGTTACGTATTCAATTAGAACAATATATGAACGTTAGTTGATGATGATGATGATGATCGATCATTATCGAGCTAAGTGAGTATCAATATTGAACTAAAACACAAATTCTTCAAATTGTGAGCAAGGTAAAAAAACGATGCTTCAATTGAAAACACTTAGGTTTTTGCTCGGATATTTTCGATTGTATTATAAAACTAACCTTAAATTTTTTCTGCACGTCTCTCTGCTTCTGATTATACACTTTATACTGACTATTTTTTCCCATCGTCACATATATTTATTAATACAGAATTATCCGTAGAAATTATCAATCAATAACTCAGAGTGTTTAGTTGCCTTCCATGTACTTTCGTATTTTGCGATAATGTGACGGTACTTTCCAGATTAAAACATCGTAGACAATTTATGGGCATGGTTAGCGCGTAAAGTCTATCAATCGGGCAGATAATTTGAGAATATTGAGTCTTTAAAATCAGCAATTACCAGCAACTGGAGGGAAGTATCCTTGGACTATTTAAAGTGCCTATACGATTCTATGCCGAACAGAATTTACAAAACTATTTCAAATAAAGGTGGCTTTACCCATTATTAAATTATTAATAATGATTATCAAAATTGAAAATTCGAAAAATTAAGTTTTAATTGAAAATTCGAAAAATTAAGTTAAGGTTTTCGTTTAATTTGTTATTTGTTAAATTGCTGAAATGTTAAAAAAAAAAAATAAAATTTCCTTGTTATTTTTTCCGAAATCTACACGATAAATTTGAAGTCGTTAACTTTTGTGTTATTGAAGTAAAGCTTGGAAAACGATCGATTTTATCGACAATAAGGAAATGGATGAGTTATCGGAATAAAAAAGATAAACTAGAGACAGACATGGCTAGATAGACTCAACTCGTCATCCTGATCAAGAATATGTATATGGAGTGTGCCAGAAACATTTAAACGAAACCTCTCCCATTTCTCCCATTTTCAATGGGTTCAGGGCATAAAAGTAAACACCTTCAACGATAAACAAGTAAGAAAGCTCTAGTCGGTGTGCCCGACTAGGAGATACCCTCATCCCAGTCCTATCTGCGTTTTTTAATATTTTCCGTACGTTGTATCAAATATCAAAAAAAAAAACACTCATTTCGACACCAAGATTCGAAACCAAATTGTTTACGCAACGTGCATCAACTTTACCAACACCGCCACCTCATAATTAAACAACAATAAAAAAATGTCTCCTTCTGGCGGTGCTCGAACCCAGAGATTATTGCTTACGAGCGTCGCCTCTCCCTGCACTGCTTACGCAAGGAGTTGCAAACTTGAAGCTAAGTAGCAGCTGATAATTCAAGCAGTGAGAAGAAGGAAAAATACGTGCGCTTGGCGCTGCTTGAGATGTGCCTTTGCAAATTGGCCAAACGTTTTCTTTAATAACTTGTGGTTTACTTAGTGGATTTTAAGGAAATTTGAAATTAGAGATGTAAACGCCTTCACAGAATGGCCCTATTTCTAACTGAACTTAAATTTAAAGAATTTTGGGAAATTTGGAGCAGGTATCCAAAATCCAACAAAAATCAAAATTGCATAAAATATACATAAAACGAAATAAGAAACTTGGAGGCTCTAGCTCTTAAGACGTCCAAGATATAAATTATTAACTGCATTTCACTCATATTTTTATTCGATAATAATTAAATACAAATAGTTATCGAATATTTTAAACAAACTCGATATGCACGTGCTCTACAGACGGACAGACAGACAGAAGGACAGGCATCAATCGACTCGGCATGTCATCCTGATCAAGAATATATATACTTTATGGGGTCTGCCTCCTTCTGCCTGTTACATAATTTTGCCCAAAACCATTATACCCTGATTTCCCATTTCCAATGGAATCAGGGTAAAAAAAATATGTTTATTTGTTTCCGTTCTTATCAGCACGAACAGTCAAGAGTGCGATTAAACACATGAGATATATATATATATATATATAGAGAGAGAGAGAGAGAGAACACGAGTGAGAGAGGTATTATTAGAGTATAGTATTGCAGCGTGAAACGAAATAGAATAGCTGGAAACAGAAAGAGCGAGAGAGAGAGAGAGAGAGAACGCCACGACGCAGAACCAAATTGAAGGCAAACGGAACACATTTATTCACTTCGACTATGCACAGCTCGCTGTGAGGAAGGAAAGTCCAAATTTTCGAGAGCCAAGCCAAAATGCGAAACATCAGAAATCTTAAAGATCCCACAGGTGTGGTGCTGTTCTGGCTACTGTGGTTGCTCTGCTGCACCACAACGGGCATAGCGACGGCATTGCCAAAGGTCGGCTGCACCGAGCACGACACCACAATCACCTGCGACTGCAACAACGATGAGCAGGTGAGTCAGCACTGTGTGTGTGTGTCTACACTCAGCGAAAATACGTGTTCAAAACTTCAAAGTCATATAGCGATTATATGATTATTATAGATATATATCTCCAGCTGACTGGTAGCAAAAGTACAACTAATTTTCTTGAAGACGCACTCAATATATTGTACGTTGCTATGCGTAGTATTAGTCATCTGAACTCGAGTCGTTACAATTTGTGATCTGCAATCTGAGAAAACTTTTACAGATATGGAAGACCTACAAGACATATAAGCTTTTTGATGTCAGCTTATGAAACTTAAAGGAAAACTGCAAAGAATTAAAAATTAAATATTTTAAGTATTTCTAATAAGAACTAGGAACCGGCTTAACCAACTACATAATGCTTGTTCACGGCTCACAAACAGTGAAAATGTTTAAAAAATTAATTCATTAATGCAGGCGAATCCTTGCCATGCCCCAATGGGCGGACCATAGTGATCCCGCAAGAACTCAGAAAGATATATTGGTCAATCTTAAGAGGGTAACTTAACACAGTAACTTAAATCTAGCTCCATAATATGGTAGATATAGCACTTTCCGAGTTTATATATTTCAAAATTTAAGGCAGTCAACAAGACGAACATTGCACAAAGCCAATATACTCTGTCCGCTTCGTGAGCGTGTATAAAAATAAGATAGCATTTGTGTGGAGAGTGCGCATAACATTTCTGAATTTGTTCAATTGTTTTAGAAACAGTTCATTATATGGATATATAGTTATTCAACAAATACTGTAATGGTTTGATTTTCTTTTAGTGTTAATAGACGTTTGATACGCAGTTTAAATAGTTATGAAATGTATCCATATTTTCCTTCGTTCGTTTCGCTGTGCAAGAATGATTTATACTCTATTAACTTGAAATTTTGCATTCGCATTGAAGTGTTTTTCCCACGTCATTTCTCTGAGTGTAGCTTAGCAATTGCATAAACATATTCTGATACGCTCAACTTCTCTTTAGCCGATGGTGCTGCCACAGCTGCATGGCGCCGTTTTTCAGGTGGAAATACGCAACTGTCGCGATTTGACTGTGGAGCCAAACGCTTTGGATGACACCGAAGGTCTGCGCAAGATTAGTTTCAAGCAGCTGCAGCGTCTGGTGCTGCAGCAGAATGCATTAAGCGTGCCCCGCGATGCCAGCAACAAGGCGCTGATTGTCGAGTTCGAGGACGTCAACTTTCAGTTGATCGACTCACTTGCGATCAGCGGCAACATCGAAGAGATCTCGTTCACACGTGGACGCATCGAGCAAATGCATCCATTCGGCTTCACTACCATCAAGGATACAGCCATCTTGCTAAAACTGGACGGCGTCACCGTGCAGCGCATCGAGAGTCAGGTGAGCCACAAAACAAACTTCTCGCACATTTGTTAGATTAAGGCACATATGAGTCAGAAGATACTCAAATTGGTGACCTATATACATATAACTGTTAACTTGGAGATAGGATTCGTAATCCAAATGGGGATGTGACTGGGGAACATACAAAGGGGGCAGAGAAGACTCTTTTGGGCGTAACAGATCTCGACTCGACCCAATGCCAAGAGAAGATTGTACCCGTTTCAGTTGGTATATCGTTATCATATATATTTCTTGCAAATTTCCAGGCCTTCAAAAAATTTGCCGTGGAGAAGCTAACAATAACCAATTGCAATTTTATTGGGGACTTGCCGACGCGCGCCTTCTACGAGCTGGAGGTGAGCAACGAGTTGGCGATGCGCAACAATCAGTTCCAGGAGGTACACTCGCACGCCTTCTCCTTCAAGCGTAAGTCAACCGATTAGCTATATCTATATTTAATTTACAGCATTTTTCATATATGTTTTTTGTGTGAATTGCAGTCATCTCCAAGCTGAGCCTGAGCGAGAATCGTTTTGCGGCCATCGATGGCGAGTGGCTGGAGGCATACATAAAGGACGCGGTTACGGTGCGCGGCAATCAGTTTGGCGCCACCAGCGAGATAGCCTTTCGCAGCCTGGGCGTTCATCGCGACTATCAGCTGAGCGAGCGGCTGGAGCTGCGCTTCCATAACAACACGGTACAGAGTTTGCCGTCGACTGGCAAGGCAACTGGTGCCGCGGCCCAGCCACTGCGCTTCGATGAGCGTTTCGCTCTGAGCATACGGCAGCTGAGATACGAGAATACCTGGAGCTGTGATCTGGTGGATATGAACGCTCAGCCGCCGCAGCCGCGTGCTGAATTCTTTCGCCTGCACAGCGAGCAGTTAACGTTCCGCGCTTTCGCTGCCCAGCCACAGATGGCGCCAGCACCATTTGTGCCACTGCGGCAGCTAATCAGCGAGCAGTGCCAAAAGACTAGCTATACGGCGTACATTGTGGCGGGCAGCGTACTGCTGGTATTGCTGTTGTTGCTGCTGCTACTGATGGGGTGGTGCGTGGCGCAGCGGCGTCGAAGACGCAAGCTGGATGTGGTGCAGCCAGAGCCGCGCACCTACAAAGAGACGCAAATTGTATACCAAATCGAGAACGCTGGCCTGCTCAAGACTGATTTGTAAAGTTACAAGCCATACACACACATTCACACATAATTCAACACACACAGCTGAAAGACGCTAGCTTAAGCGGAGCGGCAACACCACAACCACCACCACCACCACCAAGAACCACCAAGAGTGACCTTTTGTTGTACCAAATTATTAGCGTACGTTTAGTTTGTAACGTTTAACATAATCTAAATAATCCTATCTATAATGTTATATCTATGTTAATCCCTGAATCATACAAGCTGTATATAGAAAATGCGATTCACTTTAAAATATAAAGAAAGAAGTCAATCTCATTGTAATGTGAACCCAATCTACAGTCTAAGCAGCCGTACTGATAAATTGTTAACTAACCTAAACATGATGTTAAGATTCGTATGAAACTAGATTGTAAAATGGGGTTATGTTAATTATATATGTTATATATTCAATTGATATGCTGAAAAAGACACAGTCGCAGAGCATATTTGAAGAGAAATTTTCGAATCAGAAATATTTAGAAAGATGCTCTTCAGACACCTATTATTATATGATTTATATAATTTTGGAAGACAGTGAAAGACGATAATATATTTCTGGAAAAGGAAGCATTCATTGCATTCCAAAAGCAATTCGTTTTAAAAATATATTTATTTTTTAAGAATCAATTGATATACAGACATAGACTTAACGACTTACCCAATGGGCAGATATGACTCCAATGCCTGATGCACCGTCAGCTGGGGTTCGGAGAGCGCAAAGCCTTTCGAGAGGAGCGCATGATGAGTGCTGATTGTCTCCTCAACGGCGCTCATGTCGTCCAAGTCCTTGTCATCTGCATCAATATTATATACAAAATTGAATGAGTATGTATTATATAATGAAATATTAAGTAATATCATATCTTCTCGATAAGCAACTATAATCAAAGAGGAGAAAGTCCACCTAAAAGGCGTTCTAAAAAATATTGTAGAACTCTTTCATTCAATTATTTGACAGCTTATAGTGCTACGATATGGAAAAGCCAACGCCAAAAGGCAAGTTATAGCAAGTTATAAGCTGAGGTATTGACAGTTATGATATATATATATATATATATTGATTGACTTTGTGACCTTTCTTACCCGGCAGATTGAGATCCTTTTTCATTAAATTTGCGCTGCACATGCCGCCCAGATAGGACAGCTCCTGCTCCAATCGTATGAGACATGAATTACTAGCATTGATCTGAGCGAGAGAGAGCAATAGTTTGAATAATTAAGAAAGAGATGGATGATGTGTTGCTTAGCTCACCGCTGTGGGATTATCGTAGCCAACCACCAGGCACTTGAAGCCATAGCGATTATTGTGCGGATCCTGGGCGTAGAGTGAAGCCGTTTCTAAAGAAAATTCAACGCAATTGCCGGGCAAAATGAGTACGTTCTGCAGCCAGTTGGAGGCGCTACAAGCAGAGGGCATACATAAGAAGGGTTTATGGCTATTACATCGATCGACTTACGTATTGAACTTCTTGACGACAATCCAATCCTGATCCGCTGCTGGTTCGGGCAGTGTGCTGGTCGTGCGACAACAGCTGGTCATCTGTAAGTGGGCATTGTGTGTGCGTCGCGTGCTCACGTTATTGTCGAGCAGGTCATAGTATTCCTCGCCAGCGGTTGCTGCTGCGGCTGTTGTCGGCGTTGTGGTGGATTGGCAGGGCTGTGTGGTAGTCGTCGCCGCCGCCGTCGGACGCATGGGAATCGAGAGCAGCAAATAGTCCTCTAGCTGCGCAGTGCCGCACTGTGAATCAAATTCAATGGTTAGCCATTGGACGCAGGGCGGAAACTCGACCCGGTAGCAACTGATGCTGGCGCTGCGATACGGATGCTCGCTCTCCACAATGCAATAATGATTGCTGGTGGTGCTGCTGGCGGGTGTTGGTTCCGGTCTCAGTTGTTCCGAGCGCTGATCTTTGGACACGTGCAGCTGATTGAGCGCTGCAATGTGCGGCAATATCTCCTTGATCAGCCCAAGGATTTGCACCGAACTCTTTGGATCGCTGCAGGCCAAATTGGAGATGTGCGCATAGACCAGTGGCAGCAGCGTATGGAACATATTTGAGGCGGCCAAATTGAAGACCTCCAGCAACTGCATGGCGGCAACACCGCCGCCCACAATTTGCGCTTCCTCCGAGTCCGAGTGCAGCAGTTGCTGCGGCACCTGCGTTGGCAGCTGTTGCTGTTGGAGCTGTTGTGGCGGCAGCTGCTGCTGCTGCTGCTGCAGTTGCTGTTGCTGCTGTAATTGTTGTTGCTGTGCGGGCAACGGCTCCTCGGCCGCCAGCTCGTATTCTGCGCGCTCATTTCCATTCAGTTTGGCGGCCAATTGCACATTGGAGAAATTCATTTCGGCCGTCTCCTCGACGCCAATTTCAGTGGCTCCAATTTCGATTTCCATTTCGAAGGGATTTGTTGAGCGCTTATCAAATTTGAGCGTCTCCATGATGCCCTTGGAGAAGGACTCGATACGCTTGCCCAGATCCCTGGCCGTTGTTGACAGCTGCGGATCAACAGGCAGCGCTGCTGTTCGCGAATTATTTGCCCAATTGATGTCCATGTGCTCCTCAATGGGCGTTATATTGTGCTCCGAATCAATGGTCTGCGTGTGGTTCGACGACGAATTGTCGGTGGGCGAACAGGATGCGGCCATAGCATTGCGCGCCAGTATGAGCAGCTCTGTGCACTTTTTAGTTATGTCAGCGGCGATTTGTAGGGCTGTATCCCGCGTGGATACCTCGCTGCTGGCCAAGGCACCGGCATGTGCACCATCTGACGAGCAGCCCGTCAGCTCCGGCTGCTGCAGGTGCTGGTGCTGGTGCTGTTGGTGCTGCTTCACGGGCGTGCTGTAGTAGAGTATGCTGGGCAGTTGGCCGCGTGCGGGCGTCGTGCCATTGAAGCTCAGATCGCACGCATAGAAATGAAAGTTGGCGCCGCAGGGACCCCGCACCGTGGGCACGCCCGCATCGCCGGAGCAGGTACGCGCGCCCTGGGAACAAAGGCGTAGAGCGTACCGTGCATGCTCCTTGATATGGACCGGGTGCTCAAACTTAATCTCGGCTAAATCATTGTGCACTGCCTCCTGATCGTAGCTGCCCGATATGGACTCCAGTGTCTCCCACTTGTGCTGTGGCTGCAGATCCACTGTATTATCATAAAGTAGTTCCAGCTGATAGTCATAGCTGCCTGAACCGGAATAGACCATGGCGCCAGCTATGGCTATGCCCGGTCGATCCACCGAGAAGGCAATTGCATCCGGCCCAAAGTTGCCCGTGTTCCAGGTGCGACTCAAATCGCAGCGTGCGAATCGGGAGCTGGTCGAGTGCAGCGTGCGAGGAGGCAAAAATAGTTTATCGTACTCGCCCAAAGCTGTCTGATAGACAATCTCGGCCAGAACGCGGGCCAACAGATGGCAACAGTTATCAATGAGGCCCTGATTGATGCACTCCTTTAGCGCATAGCTGCCGCCCAGGCAGCGGCTGTAGATGGACTCGATTCGCGCCCTTATCGGATTGGCTATTATGTCCAGCAGACGCACCAGCACGTCCTTGAACGTCCACGAGTTGCTCAGAAAGTCGCTCTTCTCCTGCTGCGTGCGATAGATCATCTGCTCCACAAGTATAGGGTACTGATGCGCCTCCGTTGAGGATAGCATCGGCAGACCCGAATTATCGCTTGGGCTAATAATCGACTGACGCTCATTGCCGGCCGCATTGAGCAGCGAGAATGTGGCACGTAGCTTCACCGTGGGCGAGCAGAGCCCGGCTAGAATTGCGCTCAGCAGGCGGGAGTGCAGTGCCCCACGATCCATTTGGGCCAATAAATCGCACAGACAGTTCCACTTGAGCGATGAAGTCGGATAGAACGCATCAAAGCAGGCCACAAAGCTCAAATGGCATTCGTCCAGAATTTCCAAGACCAAGGCATAGCCTGAAGACGGGAAATTAGTTAGAGATATAAATATTTACTTGATATATGGATATATGTATGTGCTCCGATTGCACTCACCCTCATCGGTGGCAATATCCTTGAAGATGTCATCGCAAAAGATGCCAATGAGCAGAGCGCGAACGTTGCCAATGCATTCGGCTAGCTGAATGTTCTCCAGGTTTGGTTTGCGGGTCATCGAAGTGCCGGACTGAGAGCTGGACAACTGGGCGCTGCCCGCATTGCTAAGCGAGCGATTCGACGACTTGTCTGTAAGAGCACAAGAGTTTAATGCTGAAGCACCTGCACTGTCTAGTTAATAGATTATACCTTTGCTGTTTGGCTTTTGTTGCAGTTTGGAGAGAGCGGCGACAACGGCTCCGCCTGCAGCAGAGGTGCTAGCGGCCGAAGCAGCAGCAGCTGCTGCGGTGGCTGCTGCTGCCGCTGTTGCTGCTGTTGCTGTTGCTGCTGTTGTTGCGCGCTGCGGATAAATCTCGTTGGTGTACTTGCGCAGCAGCCGCAGGCAGGATTTATTAACATAGCCCAGATACTGCAGCGTTTGCTGCAACTGCAACGGTCTTGCACGATCCCGTTGCTCGCGTAGCTGGGTCTTGAAGCAGTCCCACGACCAGCTGAGCAGCACCACCAAGCTCTCGAAGCACTCGCGACTCACGCTATTGGCGAAAGCCCGCGAGATACGTTGCACGGGATCCGCATCGTGTGGCAGCGATGGCTGCTTACAATCTTGCGTGACCAGACGATAAAGTATTGCGGGTATTTGACCGGAGTTGACATCGGTACCATTGTTGGCCTTCTTGCTGGACTTGAAGGAGAAGACCACCTGATCTTCGGTGGTCACAGATGCCTGACCACATGAGCCACAGTCCGAGGAGGGGCCCGCAATGCGCGCCCACACCAAATACCACCGTCCCGCTGCTGCGCTTACCGGCTTCGGCAGCACAATGTGGTGCTTGCTGCGTGCGGCGCACTCGTATGGCACCTCCTTGGTCTCGCTGATGAGGACGCCCTCCTTCTCATAGCCACCGCCATCGGTGCCCAGATCGTACAGCTTCAGCTTACAGCTGTATTCGCCACGTCCGCCAAACATGCCGAAGCCGCAAATCATAATGTCCGTATCCGCTGAGAAGCGCACCGCCTCCACACTGTGGCCCGAATAGCCCCAGCCCCCACCAAAGTTATCGAAGCGATTCACAACCTGATACTCGCCGCTCTGCGCCTCCACCGCCTGCTGCGTCTGCTGTGGCAGCGCCTGCTCAAAACAGCCGGGTATATTATCTTGTGCGGATGTGAGTATATCCAAACAGGCCAGAAGATTCAGCGATGCCTGCGAACGTGACACACGCGCCTCCGCCTTGCACGGCAGCGACAACTCCGGCGACAGCAACGCCCGATAATTGGCCGCATTCTGCAAGTATTCAAATGAAAGATCAGTCATCTTTAATAACGTGTCTCAATTTAAACCATGACACCTACCACATCAGACTCGGATATTTCGCTGGCGACAACATTGTGACAGCGCAGCTTGCGGCCAACGCCGTCAAAGACCCAGAGCACATTGTAACTGGGATCCATGGCAAAGGATAATTGCGTGGGCAGCGTCTGCTGTTCTGTGGGAGACGCAGCAGCTGGGCAGGCGCCAGCAGCGGCGGCGGCTGCTGCCTCTGGACGGGGTCGAATGCGTCGCTGAAGTCGTGGGCTGGCTGTCAACGAGGTTGGCTGAGCCACCTCCATGTGCTGATCCTCGAATATATGATTGCGTGCCTCGTGCATGCTGCGCGACATCTGCTCATTGATGGGCACGCCAGCTGTGCTGCTGCTGACCAGCGGCAGCTCAGCCATCAAAGGCGTCGCCACGTCCACGTTCCGGTTGATTTCCGGCTGCCCGTGTTGCTGCTGCGTCTGCAGCAGCTGGGAAAAGTTCGTTTGGCCGTGATAGTGTGGCGTGCAGCTGCCGTCGCTGCGGTTGATGGAGAGCGTATGAAAGGACAGCGGTATGCTGGGAATGAGTACTAGAAAAGCAAGAGAAACAGGAGCGGAGTTCAGATTATTCCTCATATAAAAATGACATTTACTTAACGTTAAAAATAAATATTCTAATTTAAAATTTTTTAATAAAATTTCTAATTTCTCGCGCTACTTTTGAATGGAAGCAAATATACTAACGTATTGTCTTCTTGTTGGCCACCACGTGCATCTTGGGTAGCATTTGAGCTGTGATTAGTGATTCGTCAATCTTGATGAAGGTCTGGTCGCCATTGGCGCCGATCCAGGTAACCTTTTTGCCATAGCTGGGGCCCAGGCCACTGCAAGATTTAATACATTTAGAACTGAATCAATATGAACAGTCGAGCTATATTTACAAGACGGCACCAGGCGCACAGTTCCACAGAAACTTCTGACGCTGTGCGATGAGAGCAGCTGTGTTGGGCGGTATAAGGATTGTCTCCTTGGAGCCACCGGGCAAGACGCAGGCGGCCTCCTGTGTGGCCATTTCGTCCTCCTGCTGCTGTTGCTGCTGCATCTGCAACTGTTGCTGCTGGGCAATGACACTGTTTGGCACCGTCTTCTGTCCATAGTCGCCGGGCAGCCGGCCTAGCTGCCCCTTCTGATAGTTCCCGAATGTGTAGACAACACCTTTGTGTGTGAGCAGCACAGTGTGATTGCTGCCAGCAGCCACCTGACTGATGGCGCCCTGCACCTGCACACGAATTGCTCCCGTTACTGCCTGCAGATCCCCACTGCCTAGCTGGCCATACTGATTGCTGCCAAAGGTGAACACCTCGCCGGCCAGGGTGAGCACCACGGTGTGGTGTAGGCCGCAAGCCACTTGTACCACTGGCGATCCGCTGGGCAGCTGCAACACTTGCGGCGCCAGCGGGGCTACACGCGGTGGGTCCTTGTCAAGGTCGGTGGGTGTGCCGCCACCGCCGGCACAGCCAGCGGCGCCAGTCTCCAGCTCCGAGGGCTTCTTTTCCTTGCGCCGCATGATGAGCGTCTTGGAGCGCTGCTGGCGCTGTAGCTCGCCTGGCAATGGCTTCAGGTCCGCCTTGGCATCTGCGGCCACTGCAAGTGGTTGATGAATAAAAATGTTAAAACTAATCAATATATAATTATGTACGACTCTCCCTCACCTATCTCGCTTTCCTGCAGCGCAACGCAGGCGGCACACAGGCCGCACTTGGCACAGCCTGCATCGCCATGGCCGCAGGGGCAAATGCTGCCGGCCAAACGTTGCTCGAGCGGCACATTGAGCGCCGACACACAGCTGACATTGTAGCCTGTGCACTCGCGGCACATGACACACACGCGACACTGGCCCTGCACCAAATTGTGATCGTCGTAGTCGCAGAGCGTCGAGAAGTCGAGCTTGTGGCGCAACTTGTCGCCGTGCAGGCCGAGCAGCGCGTAAGCAGCCGAAGAGCTGGGCACATCCCGAACGGGCATCATTTTATTAAAGACACGTCCGCACTGACCCTTGTTGTTCAGGCCAAAGGTGAAGACCTGCCCCTTGGCGCTTAGCGCGACGCAGTGCGCCTTGCCTAGGGCCACTTTGGTCACATGCTGGTCGAGCAGCTCACTGACAAAGCCCATCGAATCGCAATGCGCCGTATCTTTGCCGTACATAATCAGCTTGCCTGTTTTGGTCACAAAGGCGGAGGTGCCATTGTTGCAAGCAGCATGCACCACCACATGTCCGTCGATCTTGCTCATCTTTTTGGGCTTAACAGCCTTTGGTTGGCGTCTATTCTTGGAGCTGTCGCCATCCTCGCCCCGCCGTGCAGTGCCAGCAAAATAGACGGTCCCATCATCGTTGACGAGCAGCGCATGTATCCCATCGTGTCCAACGGCCACATGGACAATGTGCGCCGCCTTCGAGACAATCAGTTCGGTTAGCTTCAGTGTCGGTGTGCGACCCACACACTTCAGACCAAGCGCTGCCGACTTGCCATAGTAGTAGACACGTCCATTGCTGGCGCGAACGATGCCAAACTCCTTGCCGCAGGCCATGCCTAGCACATCGGCATCGCGACACGGCGCCGGCAACTTCGGCTCAAAACTGTTGTGCGCCGACTGTATGCGCTGGATCTGCTGCTGATTGAGCAACTCATCCTCAAATGCCGCATAGCCCAGCGTTCGAAACTTCTTGCGCGCCAATTGCAACGGCAGTTCGAAAGGCGGCGGCTCGCTGCTGTAGCTATTGTGATACAGATTCAGTTTCTTAACCACCAGTGTGTCCTATAATTGAGCAGAAACATGATTAATATTGAATATCCAAGAGCTTAGTTTAAAGTGTCTTGTCTTTTTCTGCTGTCAACTGTTGCTTTTTGGTTCAAGTGCTTGATTCTTAAGGGCAAATAATGATTTCTCTTATGATTGATAGACTGAACAGAAATCTAGAGTATTCAGTTCATGGAAACTCTGCTGCTTGAGTAGCCACAGCACAAGCTGTCGTCAAGTTTATTCTATTCACTTATTCCTGGACTGCCCAAGAGCAACATTTGAAGCGCCTCATCTACATCTCATCTACTAATGTTAAGTTTCAATCTTGAAGTCGACGTTTTATGTAATCCTAAATCAACTACTTTTTGTAGAATAAGATACATTTGAAGTTTCACAGCTTAAAATATATTTCTGTTATACAAAATGAATGGATAGCAATTCATATTCAATTGGAAAACATAAGCAACCAACGTTGACTTCAGTCTAACTCTGGCTCTGACCTCTGTTTAATTTTTGTGAATTTTACAATACAGATATTGACTTTCACTCACATCGCGATTGCTGCAAATGGCATGCAATGAATCGTCGTCCGTGAAGAGCACATAGTTGAGGCCTTCGCGCATTGAGAGCATGTTGAGTGGATTCATTGACTTGACGGCCAGCGTGTCCATGCCCACCAGCTGCAGCTGATCCGCGCTTCGTTTGCAATTGCGTCGGAAATACAATTGACCACCGCTGTAGCCCAGCCAGGCGCTGCGCTCGCGACAGAACTCGTCGTTTTGTGCATAGATGTGCCCCTTGTAGGAGCCGCCAAAGCCGGTGCCGATCTTCAGCAATGCACCTCCGTATAGCACATAAACGAAGACGCCATCGCAGGCCATGGCCGGTGCCATATGCTGTTGTGGAACCGTCAGCAAAGGCAGCTTCAAAGCGAACTGCAAAAAAGTTGGACAAAATATTTTAGAACGAGGCAATATTTAATATTTCACTTATCCAAATATTAGATATATAAGGTTTATTTAATTGATTAGATCTGATGTCTCTGATATTCATTTAGTCACATCAACTGTGACCAGCTAGTTTCAGCAATGCCCTTACTTACCTCATCGATTAGTGAATTGTGCGGCACTCCATGTGTATGGAAGTCTGGACGCGTTGGCTTGTTAAGCGCCGCACTCACTACCGTATGCTGCAGAGCGGCCAGCACGGCGGGCAATTGGACAATCTGGGCGGAGAGCTGCCGTGGGGACATGAGCATGGCGGCGATGGCCTTTAGCATTTTGCCCGTGTCGCCACGGGCAATGCAGAGGCCAAGTAAAGCGGCGCATGCCATGGCTGACCAGTTTGCCTCGGCGCCTGTGCTGGAGGTGAGCGCCGCTGGCATGGTGGCTAGATCCAAGAGCAGATCGTACAGCGGATTGATCAGGTCCTCGGGTTCAAGCTTAAACGATTCCGGCTGCTGACCCTGTATAACATCGAGCAGCGCTTTCAGTGCTTTGGTGCACAGCAGCGGCTGGATGTGGCGTGCATCCGCAATTAACTCGAACAAACTTCGCAGTCCGGCGCCTACAATAAGCGGAACAGTGGCATAGACCGGCTCGCGCTCTTCTGGCTCATCAGTGTCCGAGTCGGCATCGCTATTGGCGCTATTTGTCGTGCGCTTGTCCGCCGCTCCACCAGCAGCAGCAGCGGCGGCCGCTGCTGCAACGCCTGCAGCACCTACTGCACCGACGCCGCCACCAACTCCCATCGCAATCGGAGCATGACAGGAGCAATCGACCAGATTACTGACCATGCAGCTGCCTGCACAGACCAAACAGCACGATGAGCCCATGTTACCGCTCCATTTCTTGAGCGCCGATGCTGCAGCCATGGCGCCATGTCCGCTGCTCTCGTGGAAAAGAGCAAAGCGTGTCTCTGCCTCCAGCACTGTGGAGCGTATGGCTGAGAAGACAGCAAATTTTGACGCATTTGGGTCGAGTTCAATGTGTGCCACCGGAAACGCTGGCATGAAAAGCAGCTGGTCCTTGACCAACGGCGGATCCAATGGGTTTACAATGCCTGCTCCAGGGCCGCCTGCCGCATTACCCTCCAACACAGCAGCTGCGGCGGCGGCTGCCATCGCTGCTGCCGATTTCTCCTTGCGGCTCTTGCGCTTCGTGAGAGCCTTTCGCTCATTTTGCAACTTTCTGTGTACGAGAGAAAGAGTAGACGGAGAGTATAAGCAAGGGTATTCATAGTTGGACGTCGATCAAGTTGCTTTGCATATACATACATACATTGCAAATCAGCTTATCGATTTAACAACAAACAAATTAATGCAGGTCGCAAACAGCTGTTATCGATCAGCTGTTCTGGCCAGTGCTGCCCACTTGTCGTACAAAAGTGCAGGCGCCAAATTTCAACCCCGTCAAATCAGACCCAGCAGCACAGCAGCCGAGCTAGGGGTTGAAGACCTACATACACATACATACATTGGGCCAACGGCAAATCGATCGATTTTTTCAACCCCAAATGCAATGTCGCCGACACATCCGCAGCCACCACCCCGCCGCATTGCCCATTGTCCTTATTTACACTTACCTGCGTGTATTGCTTGTGTACAATTCATAGAAATGATCGCCATATTTCATTGGATTCAGTAATCCAACCATTGCGTTTTAGCAATTTCAAATGCGTTGCCTCTTGCGTTGCTGTTGCCACCAAATCGATTTTATGTATGCGCTTTAGATATATATATATACATATATCCTCTGTATGTACATGTGTGTGCCGTTATAGCTTATACCGTTACACACCGACCACCGATTTTTTTATCCGAGACGCGCACTTGCCACCGAACAACTATACATTAGTAGCTAATCGCTTTGTCAGCCTGAATTTTGGCTAAACTTTATTGCACAAACATTTACAAAATACCTAAGAAATTAACTAGTCTATTGGCGAACTTAATGCATATTTCTTGTTGTATGATTGCACCACTGGCTATGTGAGCCATTAAGTTATCGATAACAGGCAACAGGACCTTTTTTGCGGTTGAAATACTGTTATCATCGATACCATCGATACAAACTGTAATATATTTCAGAATTATTTATTTAATGTATTTTTGGTGCATTTCAGTTTAATTTAACTATTAAAGTATATATTTTCTACAAAATTCATTTTATAGAGGCGCTTTATTTTAAAATTAGCTATAACGATACTCATCGATTGTTTGTGCACGAAAATGTGCTTTTTGCAGCCCTGTATCACAACAGCTGTCAAAGAGCCTACAACAACAACAGCCGAACTGACAGCAGCGCCGCAGCAGCAACAATCGAGGAAAAACATTTTACGTAATTTATTTTTGTTATTTTCTATTGCAATTTGGATGCATTTAACGTATGTGTTTCTACCGCCTAGCACAGCATGGGCAACGCTCTCAATCACTATTTGAAGCCAGATGTAATGCCCGGCCCAGATGTGGTGCCCAGCTTTGATCCCATGTTGGGCTTTGGGTCGCGCAAGGAACGCGTCATGATAGCTACCGAAGAGGAAATGGTATCGGCCAAGCTGACACCAAAGGAACGCGATTATTGTGCCCACAAGCTGCTCGCCTATCGTGGCTGTCGCGCTGACAAATTCCCCTTCGTCTATCAGTGTGCGCACGAGAAGCACGACTATCTCACCTGCGAATACGAGGACTATGTGCTGCGCATGAAGGAGTTTGAACGTGAGCGCCGGCTGCTTGAGCGCCAAAAGCGTCTTGCCAAGCAGGGCTAAACTTAAGCGTTCGGTTCAGTTCAAAGCGACAAGCAGAGCAGGTGCTGCCCAGCAGACCGGAGCAGCCGAAAATCAACATTCACACGTTTACCAACTCCACACACTGCCCGTCGCGAGCGAAGGAAATTTCAATAAATACTATGCCTAGTAATAATATGGATCTGTTTTTTTTTTTTAGTAAATTAAATGAGAAAGAAAACTTCAAATCAAACAAAATTGGGATTTTAAGTGCGAACTAAAAGAGAATTAAACTTTCATTTCAAACGGCTTCAATTACAAACTGGAATCACGCAAATTGTTATCATAAATGCAATGCATTACCGTTAATTTAAAAACTCTCAGCTTAACGTTAACTGCTAAGTGCGAATATATATAATATGTGATTCAAGTTGACAGCCCATGAAATAACAGTTTTGTTAGAGATGAGCTCGTGTTGCACATTGTCAGCACGACACAAAAGAACTTGAAATGGGAGGCACCAAATTGAAATATACTCGAATCGACTGGAAAATCTAAATTGCTGAAAGCTTAACTTTTAAAATGATTGGAAGCAGGATAACATTTAATTTAGGGAAAATTCAATTTATGCGTAAGTCCAATTCCTGAACTTGTTTATTTTTTTCCGATTGGAATAATATATGTATGTAAATACCTATTCCAGTTAAAAATGGAAACACAATATTTGTTATTCTTCTACATCAACGCTTTATTTGTTAAAGATCGTTCAGGACTAGCCCAATTACTAAACTTATATTACAATTGCTTTTGTATAATAAATGCACACACCTTCCTACACACACACGCGCTTACACACAAAACCTAATTAATGCTAGTAACTATGTTGTTGACACTGATAAGGAGTTTGTGACTAATATTTAACAATTTGCATCTTATACTTGGTAAATAATTAAATGCAAACAACTCTTTGGTAAACGATACACTGGATTAGTGGTTGTTCTCATCAAATGCCTAATTTGCGCCACAATTGATGCATTCGACCGTGTGTCTCGAATATACTGCGCAGCATGAATACCTGGATGAGTCCAACGCCGATCATGGCCGTGATCTGCAGCAGGGACCAGTTGTTTACCTTTTGGAAGTTGGCTTCGGCCAGGTTACGATCGCGCGCCTCGTGGGAACGCAGCACATCCTGCAGCTGACGTGCCTTAGTCAGCTGCATGCGTATACGGCCAATGAAGTCCATGATGTCCTGCACCTTCATCTCGTAATATTCGTCGGGCGTTAAGCCCGTTAGTTCGTTGACGTCCTTCCATTGGTCGTCGCCATGATTTTGATCGCCTTCGCGTTCCACTATCAATTCAAAGAAGACAGTTTTGCGATTGAACATGCTGAAGCTATTATCGAAGCAGAATCGATAGTCGCCCTCCTTTTGCACCTCATGCTGGTGCATATTCTCCGGCTTCTTGTAATCGCTCACAATGACCAGACCGATGGGATCGAGGAGCGCAAAGCTAATATCCAGATCACCGTGACCGCCATCAATTACCTGGTATTCGAAATCGATTATCTCGCCCATCTTAACGCTGTGGTACAGGCACTCTTTCTTGCCGGCGTCCACATATACGGTCATTTCTTTGTCATAGCCGTTGATGAGGGCCGCTGGCCAAAGCATCGAAGCCACCACAAGGCCAAGCCATGAGCCAAGGCAGTTAGTTTTCAGCTGCAGCATAACAAATGCTTTTTATAGAGTGTATATAATATCATTTAGTAATATTACATACCATGTCAACCTTTTATATGTGATTGTTAATTGAATGCGAAACGCGTCGGTGTGCCTAAAAATGGCGATATACCCCACAATGAATGTTGATACTATTTTTAAATATATCGCACATCGATTGCATACACAAAGGAATTGCATTCCAAGTCTTATCGATATGTTGCGCAGCGCATAGATGTTTCGATGTTTTAATGCGATAAATTAGAATTGCAACAACATATCGTTTCGTTAGTGTGTATGAGTAACGCCAATAGATGGCGTTAGCTTTTAAGGGCTGGCAAATTGTTAAATAGCGGGGATATTCAAAAGTTCCTAATATGAGTTAGAATACATACATACATATGTATATATATAGTTATTCGTTTCATTATCATATGGAATAAATATTTGCTATCATTAAATTATTTATACGCTTGTTAAAGTTAATTTAAAGAATTGTAAGTATTAGTTGTCAAGTAAAATATTTGCGAATGAAATTGAATTGTGTGTTATTTAATTGGGGTTTTATTTGTCAGTATAATAGTATTCCGATTGAACACTTTCAGCCAGTTATCTATTAAAAGCCAATTACTTGCTCAGCTGTTGCGTGCTACGGGTATCAAAATAATTTACTCCCTGCGGTCAGATGAAAATACCTCCAATCGCAAGCTGTAAAACAGATATGTAATACACTAAATGTAGATTCCGGATCTCCAGTTAATCGGTCGATTGGTTACGTCTCGGATAACAATGTCAATGTCGCCGGCGCAAAGGTGAAATGGGAATGTTTTTATAACTGACCTTCTTGAACATTACCAATTAGTTGCGGCTGTGCCAGACTTGTGATTAATGTGTTCAGCTCCCTGTTTAGCCAAACAAGTATTATTCACAGCCTCTCAAACTATTTATGATGATTAATTGATAATAAAAAGCGCAGCGAAATTTATTCACAATAAGCTGATTCAAAGCTCAAGAAAGAAAATATCAATGCTTTCACTGGCTAAAAAAGAAAGTAAATATTTTTAGAATGTTAATGGAACGAAATAACTATTTTTATTACCACCAAAACAATATTTGCTATGAGAACAAAGATCGAACGGTTACAGAAATAGCCTTAACTCGGCTAGTTTTGATTATAGGAGAACTATCAAATATTTGCTTACTGAATGAATGGTTTGAGAACTAATCCATTGGCACGTGCGGCACACACGCGCACGCATACACTTAACAGTACACTTAGCATCTAATTTGATAATGAAAATCTTCCAATTTCGCAACGTCAATCAATCAAGGAAATTGTCGTGTTCAGTTGCGTAACACGACGCAGCGCAATGTTACGACTGCCCATTGAATGCTGGCTAATTGTGTGTTGTCAGGAGGCGTGTACACCGTACTCCCAACCGAATGCAGCTCGATTCTATTGTGGAGTCAGTTGCCGCTCAACGCTTGTCCGGAGTCACAGCCGCCATGTTGCACGCTCTGCTGCTGACCCTTATCGCATTGTTTGTGACGCTGTTCGTGTTCCTAGCATGGAACTTGGGATACTGGCGCCGGCGTGGAGTTTGGGAGCCGTATGCCCTGCCTCTACTCGGATCTTTCCCTAACATGGTGTGGCCGCGGCGGCATTTTCTGAACGATATGCGCGAGATCGTTATAGTGGTTGAGTGAGTAAATATGAAGAGATAATTGGGCACGCTTAAGAGGAAGAGGATAGAGGAAGAGGAAGAGAAAGAGGAGAGTAAGAGGAAGAGGAAGAGGAAGAGGAAGGCGGAAGAGGAAGAGGATAGAGGAGAGAAGAGGTAAGAGGAAGAGGAAGAGGAAGAGGACGAGGGAGAGGAAGATTAAGAGGAAGAGGAAGAGGAAGAGGAAGAGGACGAGTAAGAGAGAGGAAGAGGAAGAGGACGAGGAAGAGGACGAGGAAGAGGAAGAGGAAGAGGAAAGGAAGAGGAAGAGTAGAGGAAGAGGACGAGGAGAGTGAAGAGGAGAGGAAGAGGAAGGGAAGAGGAAGAGGAAGAGGAAGAGGAAGCTCTTCCTCTTCCTCTTCCTCTTCCTCTTCCTCTTCCTCTTCCTCTTCCTCTTCCTCTTCCTCTTCCTCTTCCTCTTCCTCTTCCTCTTCCTCTTCCTCTTCCTCTTCCTCTTCCTCTTCCTCTTCCTCTTCCTCTTCCTCTTCCTCTTCCTCTTCCTCTTCCTCTTCCTCTTCCTCTTCCTCTTCCTCTTCCTCTTCCTCTTCCTCTTCCTCTTCCTCTTCCTCTTCCTCTTCCTCTTCCTCTTCCTCTTCCTCTTCCTCTTCCTCTTCCTCTTCCTCTTCCTCTTCCTCTTCCTCTTCCTCTTCCTCTTCCTCTTCCTCTTCCTCTTCCTCTTCCTCTTCCTCTTCCTCTTCCTCTTCCTCTTCCTCTTCCTCTTCCTCTTCCTCTTCCTCTTCCTCTTCCTCTTCCTCTTCCTCTTCCTCTTCCTCTTCCTCTTCCTCTTCCTCTTCCTCTTCCTCTTCCTCTTCCTCTTCCTCTTCCTCTTCCTCTTCCTCTTCCTCTTCCTCTTCCTCTTCCTCTTCCTCTTCCTCTTCCTCTTCCTCTTCCTCTTCCTCTTCCTCTTCCTCTTCCTCTTCCTCTTCCTCTTCCTCTTCCTCTTCCTCTTCCTCTTCCTCTCCTCTTCCTCTTCCTCTTCTCTTCCTCTTCCTCTTCCCCTTCCTCTTCCTCTTCCTCTTCCTCTTCCTCTTCCTCTTCCTCTTCCTCTTCCTCCTCTTTCTCTTCCTTTATAAATCAGTATGGTCTAAGCCTACTTATTGCAGGCAGTATCGCTCGACGCACAGCTATGTGGGCGCCTATCTGATGAGAGCGCCGAAGCTGCTGTTGCTGGAGCCGAAGCTGATCAACGAGGTGTTGGTGAGTGCTTTTCGCTGCTTCGAAAACAACGATGCTTCGCGGATGGTGGACACACGCAAGGATCCTTTCATCGCCTGCAATCCCTTTGTACTGGACGGGGACGAGTGGCGCCAGCAGCGTGGTATCTTCTCGCCCCTTTTGACCAGCGGGCGTATACGTAATGCCTACTGTAATATGCAGCAGATCTGTGGGCAACTCTGCGATTACATCGAGGAGCAGTCAAAGAGCGGCCAGCCCTTCGATGGCACTGATGTAAGTAATGTTGAAGAAAAGTTCTTGATTTCTAGATATGCTCTATCTTTTTATTTTCCAGCTGGGATTGCGCTTTACCAGCGAGAATCTCTTCGACTGCGTCTTGGGCATCAAGGCACGCAGCTTTACGGCTAACCCATTGCCCGTGGCGCAGCACAATAGAGAAATGTCGGAGGATAATTATCGCCTGGCTCTGGCAGGTGCTCTGAACGGACTCTTTCCGCGGCTGCCGCGACGACTGCGGCCCAAGATCGTGCCGCCCTCATATGAACGCTTCTTTGGCGATCTGGTGCGGCAGTCCTTCCATCTGAGGCGTTGTCGGCGACAGGAGCGCAACGATTTCATCAACCATCTGCTGGACTTGCAGCTGCAGCATCAACTCACCGAAGATCAGCTTACATCCCATGCGATGACTTTCATGTTCGACGGCCTGGACACCACATCCTCGACCATTGCCCATTGTCTGCTATTGGTGAATTGCGTTAGCTAAGTAGCTACCTTCGGCTAATCTAAGACTTGTCCGTGTACAGCTTGCCAGGTATCCGGAGTGCCAGCAGCAACTGTTTCTAGAGCTGGCGAAAGCCTCCGCGAAAGATCAACTGCTGCCCCATTTTGAGTTGCTGAGTGAGCTACCCTATTTGAGTGCCTGTCTAAATGGTGGGTTCAATAAATAGATATATGTTTGAGATAATATTCAATTATCTGCAATAGCTTTCCAAATATGTGTATCGAAGCAAATGCAACCTTATCTCTTTAACAGTCCCTCTCTCTCTCTCTACTTGTGCCTCTCTCTTCTATCTGTTCGTCTCTCTTTATCTGTCTTCCTCTCACTTTGTACCTATTTGTCCTCTCTGTACCTCTCTCTTTCTTCTAACTGTACCTCTCTCTTTATCTGTCTATCTCTCTCACACACTCTCTGTACCTCTCTTATCTCTCTTTCACACTCTCTGTACCTCTTTCGTCTATCTGTACCTCTCTCTTTATCTGTTTCTTTCTCTTTCATCTATTTGTACCTCTCCCTTTATCTGTCTCCCTCTCACTTTGTACCTATTTGTCCTCACTGTACCTTTCTCTTTCATCTATCTGTACCTCTCTCTTTATCTGTTTCATTCTCTTTCTGTGTACCTCTTTCATCTATTTGTACCTCTCTCTTTATCTGTCTTTCTTGTTCCTTTTCGACTCATTCCTTAACTTCTTCTCACTCATCTCAACCTCTTTAGTGCCTCCATTTTCCCCTTCCTTTTCTATTATCGCACATTCGCTTTTTTAATTTTTAATTCTCTTTTGAGCCGCATTCGTAAACGTTTTACCAACAATGCATAGATGCTTTAGCTCACTCATGCTTTCCTCTTCTTTCCTTGTTGCCTGTAAGGATTCTTAAGGATTATCTTTATTTGACATTCCACAGAGACGCTTCGCATCTATCCAGCTGGCGGCTGGGCATCGAAGACCTGCACCGAGGCCTACACCTTCCATGGCAGCCATGCTAGCGATCCGCTGCAAATGCTGCCAGGCGATAATGTAATGATACCCATTTATGGACTGCATCACGATCCCAACTTTTATCCAGAGCCTCAACTATTCCGACCCGAGCGCTTCCTCAATGGCGGTCTCAAACGTTTCCAGCAGCTGGGCGTTTTTCTGGGCTTTGGCAACGGGCCGCGTCAGTGTGTGGGCATACGCCTGGGCCTCACCCAAACCAAAGCCGCGTTGGCCTCAATAGTTAAGCGCTACGAGGTGCACGTCAATGTGCGTACCCTTGATGGCATCGAGCTGGATCCCTATATCTTTGTGGGCGCCCACAAGGGCGGCATTTGGCTGGACTTTAAGAGACGCAAACTGTGAGTGAAGCGTGACGAGCTTGGCGTAGCCCTTGAATATTTATTTCAATAAAACGTGGCAAGTGCTTAGATCCATCTGTAAGTGATCTTGAACTTGAGAAATCAAATTTAATTTTAAATTTTGAGCAATTACAAATCCCTCAAAGAAGCTTGAGTCGAATGTGTGAGTATCAGATTTTAGATCCCAGCTAGAATGTTAATAAAGCGCAAAGTATTTCACAGTCAAGCACTCCCGACTAGTAAAGACAGTAAAAGACATCAAAAAAATCCCATATCCCAAATGTGTTCACAGTGCAAATAGAAAGAAAGGAAAAGCAAAATAAATGAACAAATAAAAGGCAAAATATTTGAGAAATAGATAAATAAAGCCGTCACCCGATGACATTGGCCCATTGACTAGGCACTGGCGACTGGGACTGGGTGTAGCCCAATTGTGTGTGTGTGTGTCACTCGGTTATGTCACACGGCCACATCTGTTGCTGTTGATAACCGTTGAGCAATTGAGCTAAGCAGAATGAGAGTGAGGCCCAGTGACGAAGGCAGATCAGGCACTGATCAATCAGTTGTATGACTGCGCTTTGATTGAGCTCACTCAAACTGTCTTTAACTATGATTTGATTGGTATTTGTTGGACTTTTCCATTGTTGTGCTTGGGTTTGTGGGTTTTTCATTGAATTTTCATAGCCCAACAAAGCGTCGCCAACTAATCAATTTGCATATCTCCGATTGTGACTTTCTCTAAAGCCTGTTGCTAAGCCGCTGTTGTGTCAGCTAATTTATAGATAAATATTTAAAGTCTATAAAACGAAACCACATAAAATGCGGCGAAGGTCAGCAATGCGCAACATAAGCTGGCTTGATTGGAATACCTATGAATTCGGTTTAAAGAGGTGCAAATATATGCATATGAGACGAACTGAGGCGAGCATTACGATGGTTAGTCAGCCAGTAAATCGTTCAATCTATTTGTTACTCAATCAATTAGTTACTATCTGAAAGCCAATCAATTAGTCCGCCAGCTGGTCAGTCAGTCAACCAGTCAATCAATCAGTCAGTCAGTCAATCAGTCAATCAGTCAATCAGTCAGTCAATCAGTCAGTCAGTCAGTCAATAAGTCAATCAGTCAGTCAGTCAATCAGTCAGTCAGTCAATCAGTCAGTCAGTCAATCAGTCAATCAGTCAATCAGTCAATCAGTCAGTCAGTCAGTCAGTCAGTCAGTCAATCAATCAGTCAATCAGTCAGTCAATCAATCAGTCAGTCAGTCAATCAGTCAATCAGTCAATCAGTCAATCAGTCAGTCAGTCAGTCAGTCAGTCAGTCAATCAATCAGTCAATCAGTCAGTCAGTCAGTCAGTCAGTCAATCAACCAGTCAGTCAGTCAGTCAATCAGTCAATAAGTCAATCAGTCAGTCAGTCAGTCAGTCAGTCAGTCAATCAGTCAGTCAGTCAGTCAGTCAGTCAATCAGTCAGACAATCAGTCAGTCAATCAGTCCGATAATGAATCAACTAGCGATCAATCAATCCACCAACCAGCCAACCAGTCAGTCAGTCAATCAGTCAATCGTTAGAAAGTTAGATTACCAGAAGTCAACCTATCGACCAATCAATCAGTCAGTCAGTCAATCAGTCAGTATATCAGTCAGTTAATCAGTCAGTCAATCAATCAAACAGTCAGTCAGTCAATCAGTCAGTCCATTAGTCAATCAATCAGTCAAAAAGTTAGTCAACCAGAAGTCAATCAATCATTCAACCAGTCAATCGGTTAGTTCAATCAGTCAATCATTCAGTTTCAGGAGTTAGTCAACCAAAAGTCAGTCAATCAGTCACATCTACTATTCAAAACCGATAAATATCGATAAGACAAACAACAATTTATGTACATAGATAAGATAGATAAATTTATTAGTTAACAAATTGTTAAGCTGGATTCGAAAAAAAATAGAAATTATATTGAAAGATGAAACTCGCGCGCGTTTTAAACAGCGCGCGAGCCGCCAACAAATTCGAAACGCTTTGATGGAATTAAACTAATCAGTGCTACGAGTCTGAGTGTTGATATGTGTATGTGTGTGTGTGTGTGTGTGTGTGTGGGAGTGGACTCAACGTCTGGGCACAGGCAGCAGGCGCAGCGGCCGCGTTTGGCGCACAATGCGTGCGCGCGGCCTTGCCACAGTTGGCGGCAAATAGCCGCGAGGCGCACCCGTGGGCAGCTGTTGCTGTTGATACTCCTGCTGATCGTCGTAGATCTTGACCGTCTGCACATGGCTCTCCACATTGTTGGCATCCTGTGTCACCACCTTGACAATGTGATGGTGGCCGCGTGGCTGCTCGTTGCTGGTGCCCAAGATCTTGATGGTCTTGACGCCAGCAGCATCCAACGTTTCCAGCACCTTGAAGGTGCGCACCGCATGCTGCTTGACTATTTGTACGGTGCGCACCTTGGAGCTGCCACGCGCAACGGGCCCGGCGGCCGCAACGGCCACATTGACGGCCAACTGCATTTCGCGTGGCATGAACTTTTGCAGCGACTGCTGCGCCTGCAGATTAAGCACGGGCCGTGGCAGTTGCAGCTGCAGCGGCAACGGTTGCTGCTGTTGTTGTTGCTGGCGTTGCGCGTGATATATGTGATGGTGTTGGTGGTACTGCGTGGGCAGCGCATTGCGTGCGTAGGACATGGCCGGCGCATAGAAACGCGGCCGCTTCGATTGCTCTCGATGCATGGGCGCCACTTCAACGAATTGCTGCTGTTGCACACGCTGCTGCAGCAGCTGCTGCTGCTGTGGCTGGCCGTAGCGTGCGTAGGGCTGCACGGTGTTCATATAGCTGCGCAGCGCATGAATGTGTGTGTGCTGTGTGGGCGGTGCGGGCAGCGGTGCGGCAACCACTGCGGGCGTAGCAACAGCAGTTGCTCTCAGTGCTGTTGTTGTTGCTGTGGCAGTTGCTGTTGTCCTTACCTGTTGCTGCTTGGGCACTCCATAAATGATATTGGAGCCAGCTGAACGCTGTTGCTGCTGCTGCAGTGTCAATTGCTGTTGTTGCTGCTGCTGTTGTTGCAGCTGCAGTTGCTGCTGTTGCTGCTGCTGCTGCTTAAGCAACTTGGTTTGCGTTTGCAGACTGTGCAGCTCAGCAATGGCGGCCTCAAAGTTTTCGGGCTTACTAAACTCATAACCCTCTGGCAGAGCGCCAGGATGGTTGAGTTGCTGCTGCTGCTGCTGCTGCTGCTGCTGCTGCTGCTGCTGTACCTGCAATTGTTGTTGCTGCTGCTGCTGCTGTGGCGCCGGATATATGATGTTCGTTTGATGTGCTTGCGCAACCGTCTGAGACTTGACCACATCGTAGCTGGGCGGCAAATAGTCTTGCGCCCGATACTCACCAACAGTTGCTGTTGGCTGCACCGCCGGCAACTGGGGTTGCTCAATAATTTGATCCAACGGCAGATGGTCGGGATTGTCGAAATCATAGCCAGGTGGCAAGTAGCCAGGAGCACGATAATCAGCTGCTGGTGCGACTGCCTGAGGCAGTGTTGCTTGCGGCAGTTGCTGTGGCAGTTGCTGTGGCAGTTGCTGTGGCAGTTGCTGTGGCTGTTGCTGTGGCAGTTGCTGTGGCAGTTGCTGTGGCAGTTGCTGTGGCAGTTGCTGTGGCAGTTGCTGGAGCTGTTGCTGTTGCTGGGACGCAATTTCGGGATTAGCAAACTCATAGCCAGGTGGCAGATAACCAGATGCTTGATAGTTTGATTGAAGCGAGTTGCTGCCAACAATGCTGCTGCTGCCGCTGGCAATGCTGCTGCTGCTGCTGCCACTGCCGCTAGCAATGCTGCTGCCGCTACTGCTGCTGCTTTCAATGATGTTGCTAACGCTGCTGCTGCTCGGTGGCAAATAAGACGGTGCGCGATAGACCTGTTGCTGCTGGGGCAGCTGTTGCAGCTGCTGCTGCTGCTGTTGCTGTTGCAATTGCTGCTGCTGTGGGTAGCTGACAATAGAAGCAGCTGTTGCTGCTGCTGTTGTGGGTGGCAGATAATCATTGGAGCTAAAGACAGGCTTGGAGACAAGTTGTGATTGTTGCTGCTGCAGCAACTGTTGCTGCTCTTGTTGTTGCTGTTGCTGCTGCTGCTCTAAGCTGCTGGCGGTGGGCGGCAAGTAGTCAGGCGCCTGATAGCTGGGCGCTGACTCTGTGAATGCCTGTGATGCAGTGCTGGTGGTCACTGGCGACTGATATGCCTGCTGCTGCTGCTGCTGCTGCTGTTGCTGCAGCTGCAAGTTGGGCGTGGCAACAGTGGGTGGCAAATAGGCTTGCGATCTATAGGCAACAGCTGGCTGTGGCGCCTGCTTGCGCTGAAAGTCATGCTGATAGTTGGAGGGAAACGGCACCGGAACGGACCCAGGCGCTGCCCCAATGGGCAGCGGCTGTGCCACAGGCAATGGCTGCACTCGACCATCATCGGCAAAGCTCAGAAATGAGACATCCAAATTGTCATCGTTGCCAGGGACAACATGTTGCTGCTGCGGCTGCGCCTGCTGATGTATGTGTATCTCCTCGTGGCTGGTCTGTGCGGGTGGCAAGTAGGCGTGGCCCTTGCCCTGATAATGATTGTGCACCTCAAAGATCTGATAGCGCGAATTGCCGTAGCTGCTCTCCTCGAAGCGATTCGGTTGCTTCAGCGCCAAATCCGCAGCGCATAGCGAGCAGGCGAGTAGCGCCAACAGAGCGCCAATGAACTTTAAAGATCACAAAACAGAAAAAAAATTGGCACATTAAAAAAAACCATATTGAGGATATAGAAAATGATTTGTGGAAAACACTTTTTAGTCCTTTATTTTTATTGCATGAGTTTTTTTCAGTTTCAGTTTCAGTTTGAGTTTGAGTTTTGAGTTTTTCGTTTGATTTTGATTTTGAATCGATTTTGACACTTGCACTTGTTGCCGTAGCTAATTGTTGCAGCTGTCGCTGTTGCTGTTACTGTTACTGTTGCACTTACATTCATCTTCACGTTGGTCGTGCTTAAGCCCTCGATGTCCAACCGTTCAATGATGGCCCAGCTTGACCCGGCTACGCGTTTTATACAAGGGCGCGCATTAGTTCGGCATTTGCTGCAGTCTCCACTGAGATGGCTCTGCGTGCGTGTGTGTGTGTGTGTGCGAGTGTGTCGCTTTGGTGCCATCCCAGTGCCATGGCCCAAACAGTCGCGCTGGCCTTTCATTAATTCAACGGCGCCTGCGCAACATTTTTGGCAGCTGCGTTTCAACTTTTATCTTTATCAGCCTCTCTCTCTCTCTCGCACTCTCACTTTCCATTCGCAGCGCTTGCAGCTCTCGCGCTCTCTCTCACCATGGCGCGCTTAAAATGCAAATTGTTTATTGAGTTATTACAAATATTTCATTCGTAATGCCCAGAAATTCGACACTATGCCAATTCCGCGGATCTACGCCGTCTGCGGATGTTGTTTTATTAATGCCTACAACGCGAGCAACAACAAGACCTCATGCGTCAGGTTCTCTCTTTGGGTGTTGGGGTTGCATCATCAGTTAAAAAATATAATACATGTAACTCCAGTTTCCATTTATCAAATATCAATTTTCGTGGCAATTTCTTTGTGGCATTTCGATGGGGTAGCCCTGCCAGAGAGAACTGAATGGAAAATTCCATAAAAGATCAAAAGTTGCTTTGTAATTTAAGCAGTTTTCGCTGTGATCGATAATTATCGGCTATACAAGCTATCGATAACACGTTCGACATGCACATGCTGAGTGTCTATGGAAGCATCTAGTCATCACTGACTATTATGTTTGCCAGTGTTATCGATATTTTATCGATTCCGATTTCACATAGTGCCAGTCCATGTACCAATAATATATTAAAGTATACGGATCAAGTATCGAGTATTAATGATACAATTAGAAGACTTAGAAAGCATCGATACTATTATCTGTAGATAGTTTAATAGCTATCGATACTTATCGATATTAACATTGAACTCGAACCTGTACAGATTGGACCACATCTAAAGCATCGACAGATTATGACTTTATCTGTAGATTGTTTAATAGCTATCGATAGTTATCGAACTTAATATTGAACTCGAACCTGTACAGATTGGGCCATATCTTATGACTTTATCTGTAGATTGTTTAATAGCTATCGAGAGTTATCGATCTTAATATTGAACTCGAACACATCTATGCAGTCCACATTATTTTACAGGGTATTTACCTGCATAGGTTTGCCTCTGGCTATGCGTATATCCATATGCATATGGCTCATCTACTCTGATTGCGTCTTTCGAAAATATTTGCTAAAGTTTTCTGTCATTGCCCAACAATGGCGAAAAAATTATTATATCATTAGCAGCAAAAAGGGTTTGGCCCGCTGGAGCCATGGATGGAACAGAAATTGAGAGTTATAGTAGTCAGCTCTTAATGCCAGCCCATTAATTATGTGCTAATAAACGTGTCGGCTCATTAGGGAAGTGATATCGATGCATACGAGTCTATCTATCGACGATAGCCCCAACCATAGCCATAGCCATATCCAGTTCGCTGGGTGTGCCTTCTGTGCCCTCTGGGCCACACACTCTTCAGTCTATCATATATAAATATTTATGAAGAAGCTTCATATGCCATGCATTTGGCACAGGCCCGAGCATTATCTAATAGATCATAAATAGGCACCCGCAGCAGCAACAGCAGCAGCAGCAGTAATAATTTAATTAATTTTAATTAATATTCATTTCTTGGACATCTTCACTAATCATTAATCTGCCGATCAAATAAATAAAAACAAATTATACAATTTTTAAAAATATTTTTTGTAAAACTTTCTTGGCGTTTCCCAGCTCGAAAAACCGCAGCAAAGATGAATAGAGACATCGATTCTATTTTTAGAGAATCTGAGCCCATTCAGAATGGGACTTTAGGCGGTAGTAGGCGTGGCAGACACCCTAGAGCACATATATGTCTGAGCAGAACAATATGCCGAGTCGGTAAAGCCAGCGCTCTCTCAAGGCTTAAAATGTGAAGGTTTCCTTTTTTAAAATACTCCCTAGGGGCGTGGCAAGTCGAGAAATATTATGCACATTAAAAGCATAGAGGAAATAGCCAACTAAAGACTTGCCATTTAGGCCATGTTTTCTGATTAAAGCTTATATATTTTGGCTGTTTTTTTAGAGCTACATAAGTTTAAGTCATAATAAAATAAATAAATGTATTTTAAATATCAGTGACATGAGTTTTATAGTACAGGACATTTTCTGACATTAATGTTTAAATATTTTTTAAATATTTATTATATATTTTTTTAAATATTTTGGCCTCACAATTTAGAATATCAATTTTTGCAATCAGCCTAATCATGACCATCATTGTTTTTGAAGACCTATGACTCCATCTATGACAGCAGCTTATCCTCCCATTCAACCTCACATAGGCTTCATTTTGATCTGCAAAGTGTGCATTATATTCTAATAATATAAAATGGCAAGTCCAACTCAACAAAAAGCAACTGTCAGTTGTTGAATCGGCTTCCAAATTGAGTTGTGTTGCCAGCTGAAAGTTGTAAGCCTCTAAATAAAACACCCTTTATATTTATCTATTGCTATTGAGGGCGTGGCAAATAGCAAAAGTTAATATATAATGCAATTTTAGAGCTTTAACAGGTCCACTTCAAGTTAACTTCCTCTAGAGTTAGACCTAAAAGTGGTTCTTTGAGGCGTGACAAATCAAAAAATTGTAAAAGACTTTAGAGGAGACAGAAGTAGTGGCAACAGACTAATGAGAATATCCCCCTTAGACTTATCGGATCGCTTCGTTTAGTTTGCCATGTGCAAGCTGGAAAACCATGCGCAAATGCTCCTTTATAAAATTATTATAAAATATTATAAAATTAAATTTTATAAAAGAAGAGCGAATAGTAAACAGTCGGTGCTCTTTTTTTATTATTAAGTTTTTATATTACAAAAAGAGCTTTTGGCTTTACTTTAAAAACTTTACTTTCATCTATGATTCGCTTGTGGCAAATGTTTAGTTTTCTTTGACAAAGTTGCATTTCAGGAAAAAGAAAAGCAAAAATTCCGCAGGAATATGAAAATGTTGCCTTAGAAATTTGAGCTCCATTCTTTATCGTAGATCGATAAAAAGTCAGCTACACGGGGATATATTTTCGAATTGTCAAAATTATCAAAAAGAAATAGGAATATTATCTCTAAAGTTTAGATAGCTCATGTTATTAATTATAGATATTTTAAGTGCTAGCGATAATAATCGATAATAATAAAAAATACTTGAGCTACATAGTCTCTAGAAGATCGATAAGTTTGACAAAAAGTCAGCTGCTCAGAGAGATATTTTCGGATAAATATGCTCAAAAAGATCAACATGGAAATTGGAAGAGTATCTCTATAGTTTAGATAGCTTATGTTTTTATTTATATATAATTTAGCTGCTTTCGATAATAATCAATAATAATGAAAATATAGTAGTTCGATGAGTTTGGCAAAAAGATGTTTGCTCAGAGAGTATTTTCGGACTAAATATGCTCAAAAAGATCAACAAGGAATGGGACTAGTTGAGCCCAATGTATAATCGTCGTTAATGGCTGAAAAACAGTTAAAGCTGCAACATGCACGCATAACGCTTGGCGATAATAGCTGTAAGATAGTGGATGATTCAGTCTTTTCTTATTTAACGTGCTTATCCAAGAGATCTTAATGATTTCTGAAACGAGGCTGCATTTGTTTATATATAAACATCAATAAATTTCAAGAAATGTCTGCAGCTAGTGTCTGCCGAGCTAGTGCCAGGGCAGCTCTTGAGGTAAAAGCAAATTTAGCGTAAAAGTTGAGCAAAGTTTCATCTATTGACGGGTGTCAATCATTCATGGATACATGGGTGTGTCGAATAGTGGTGCCATGCCCAGAGGCGTTTGCAATTATTTGCCATTGGCAATATATGCCAATGACAGTCAAATAAATATGCTTGATTAACTAAGCTAAACTGGTTGGCCGCTCGCAGAGCAGAAAGCAGATCAAATTTCATTCATCTTATGTCTGCGTGAGCATTGGAGAAGAGATTGCAATACGGAAGGGGGCTTTACATGGCCAGATATTCACACACTCATTAAGCTATCAATTTTGGATACTTTCACTTTTCATTTCCGAATGGTTCAGAGGAAAAAACGTCGTCTTCAATGTCAATCAATGGGCCACACATCAAAATATTTTTCCAGCTGTAGCTGGCTTCCTCTTTCTTGGCCCCATTCAGCTCAGTGTCACTTTCCCAACGCTTAACCTTGGCCCACGAATCGATATGGACAGAAATGTGTTAAACAAATTATTTGTTTATCTAGCTTTTGATCGTTTCATTGGCGTCGCATTGCCCAACTTCTGTATTGGTATTCTATAGAAACTGGGATCAATAGATTAATTTCAACTCTTTTCAATCATTACAAATGTGGATTACTAATATGCCCCGACTCTCCTCGATTTGGATATACACGCATTGTCTGCTGAGCTATTTATCAATAGTTAAGTGTTTTCCGTGTTAATGCCATCCGACATTGTGTCTTCGGGTATTACAACCCAATCCCAGGCCCAACAATAAGGTAGCAACGGCAACGCGCTTAAAACAATCGTCAAGACTTGCCGCAACAAAAACAATGCTCGCCGAAGTCTCTCGTGACGAAAGCAATAAATAAAAGCAACAAAAAGGAAACCAAAAACACACAACACAACAAAACAAACATGCGCAAAACAAACAATATAAAAACGTAAACATAATAATATACAAAGATGAAAGAAAGGGGAAAACGGAATTGCCAGCGAGGGTCAAACGATCGGTTCCTCAAGAGACCAACACCCAAGAGACTGACTAACTGCTTGATTGGCTCACTGATTAGAGTGATTGAATGATTAGCAGAATGACTGACTGACTGCTGACTGATTGACAGACTGACAGAATGACTAACTGATCTGATTGATTGATGGATTGACTGATTGATTCACTCAATGCTGATTGAATGACAGAACAACAGATCGATTGACAAATTGGCTAACAGATCTGATTGATTGATGGATTGGCAGATGGATTGACTGCATGCTGACTGAAAGAATAATTGATTGAATGACAGATTGACTGAAAGATCTGATTGATTGATGGATTGACAGATTGATTGACTGCATGCTGACTGAACGAATAATTGATTGACTGACAGATTGGCTAACAGATCTGATTGACTGATGGATTTACAGAATGATTGACTAAATGCCAACTGATTGACAGACCAACAGATTGACTAATAGATCTGATTGATTGATGAATTGATTGATTGATAGACTAAGCACCAACAGATTGACCAATTAATTGATTGACTAATTGATCCGGTTGATTGATTGTCTGATTGATTGGCTGACATAACAAATTGATTGACTGAGCTAGTCGCTTGATTGATTGACAGATTAACTGACCCTCTGATTCATTACTGACTATCTGGCTGACCTGATGGACTGTCTGACTGACAGCCTAGTTGATTGATGGACTGATTGATCAATTAACTACTAATTGTTTCACTCATTAACTAAATATGAATTGGCTGATTGTAAGATTGATAAATTAATTGATGAACTGGCTGATGAGCTTGATACCTGTTCAGGCTGACTGCGTGGCAGAACTGCTGATTGATTAACTGTTATGCAGATATACATCTGACTGACTGACAGCTAGACTAACAGATTGATTAACTGAATCAGTAAGTGATTAACTGCTTGCTTGGGCGACCAACTGATTAATTGACTAATTGACCGACTAAACAAATTGATTGAGTGAACAGTTGATTGATGGACTAATTCACTGACTGACTGATTGATTTGCTTTTGATTGTTTACTAGATTGATTGATTGATTGATAAAAGCCGGCCAATGTCCGCTATTAATGTTCCGCTGAGCGACACTTCTATGCGATTCTCACGACTTAATTCGTTTCAACTCTTCGAACGCCTCTCGCTGGGCTCATAAGCTGTCAGTCAGGTGGGCTTTTTTGTTGGCCGTTGGTTTGACTGCTCCTCCCTCTGTCCCTCGTTTTATCGCTTCCCATCTAATTGATACATAAAGCATTGGCAGCCAAAGCGGCGGCAACGACACGTTTATGGGGCGTGTTTGAGTTTCATATAATATTTGAGGCTTGGAACTTGAGACACATTGATTGGCGGCATCTAGGCATGTAAATCTGAATGGATTGGGCAACTGGCCAATGCGTTGATGTTTAATGGACTTTTAATGCGTGGCAAACGCATTGGCATCATTCGCTCCGCTCTTCATAATTAGCATGCAAATTGTGCTAGCCCCAATTACATCAATCAAGCGCTCAATCAGTCAATCGGCGCATTTACAAATGTCCTTCACAGCGCACTGCTGTTGCCTTTCACCCGCAGCAGCGCTGCAGTCTGAAGAGCCATCTTCTTCTTCGCCGTGTGTGGCCCGGTCAAAACGCTAGCGGCTAAAAACGCATCAAAAACTCAAGCACGCGCGCGTTTTTGATTTGCATTAAATCTTTTTTCGATCATGTTCGCAATATTTTGCGAGTTACTAATTGCCATTTATTAACTATTTATTTGTTATTAACAAATTGAGCAATTTACAGCAATAGCTTGTGCATACGCCAAGTCAGGGTCACATTGGCCATGTACAAATACTCGACGTCAGAATGCCCTGTAATCAGCACAAACTAGCGAAGTTTCCACTGAAAGCTTCAGCTAAAAGGCAAGTAAAACTAAGTATTTGTATGTAGTATATATCTTAGATTGAAGTCGACTTTATCTACATATACTTAATGTTCATGACAGCTTGATTATGGCAGCTAACTAAGGGTATCCATTAGGTTTCAAGGCTGGCATCAAATAGTGTTGGAAGAGCGAAGAGTTGTAAGTATAATTCGAATATTCTAATTCTAATTCTATAAACATTTATAGAAACAAAAAAACGTTGTAATATCTGTCACTCAATCAGTTTTAGGACTCATTAAATAATGCTTAAGTTTATAGCTACCTCCAAGTGTGTATACGCCTCGTAAAGATTCATTAAATAAGATGTTTAAGATTCATTAAATAAGACTTACAGCTACTTACAGGGTATTCATTAAATAAGACTTACAGCTACTTACAGGGTATTCCAAGTGCTTATACTCCCCACACTTGCCATCTAGCAAAAGCATCATAAATCAACAAGTTTTACGCCATAAACAAAAGCTCTCTCCCCCTTCTCTCTCTCACAACCCCCCCCCACATCCCCCTCCCCCCACTCCCTCTCTCTTTCATGTCTTTCTTGGCTGCCATTATATCATTCAATATAAGACAAAGATCCTTCAGTTGGTTGCCAATCCATAGATTTATAGACCCATTCAGCTGCCAGACAGAGGCCCTTAGATAACGTTTGATAATATTTATATTTATTGATTATTCGTGAAATATTCAGTAGTCTTTTGGCCAGGTTGCGTCTTGGCCATCTTTTACATAATTTACATAATTTCGTTTCTTTCTTTTGTCACAGAGGAAATTTGTGCATAAAAAAATATATTTAAAAAAAAGAAGGAAATTACAAACAAATAATGTACAGTATTTACAGTAAATTTGGAGTTGTGCCTTGGGTCTTAGGCCCAGCCGCCAGCTGGCTGCCAACCGCCACCGCCGCCGCCACCAGAGGACCAGCCGCCGCCGCCACCACCATGGCCACCACCGCCGCCGCCGCCGTTCAGTTTAATGATTTTGATGACTTTGGTGGCGCCACCGCCGCCGCCACCACCACCTGAAGACCAGCCGCCGCCGCCTCCACCACCACCAGACGACCAACCACCGCCGCCGCCGCCTCCATGTCCGCCACCACCGCCGCCAGCGCTGCCCAGGCTTATGATCTTAATGAGCTTTATGTCGCCTCCGCCGCCACCACCACCGCCTCCTCCAGAAGACCAACCGCCGCCGCCTCCGCCGCCAGAAGACCAGCCACCGCCGCCACCACCTCCTCCAGAAGACCAGCCGCCGCCGCCGCCACCGCCACCGCCGCCGCTTTCTGTGATGACTTTGATGACCTGGACATCACCACCGCCGCCACCACCGCCGTGACCGCCACCGCCACCACCACCATATCCTCCGCCACCTCCGGATGACCAGCCGCCGCCTCCAGGCTTCGGCTTGGCCGTCACACTGGCTGCCCCAATCAGCAGAAGACACACAAAGGCCTGCAAAAGCAAGAAGAACAGAATGACTCTAAAACTGTGTTTTCCAAAGACTCTAAAACTGTGAATGTGTCACACTCAAGACTTGACAGCTGTGATCCAAGCAATGACTCTTAAACCGTTGAACGCTGAAACTGCAACTGTAAGTCAACTGATTTAACACTGCAGTGACTCTGAAACTGTTACGGCCAAGCTGTCGCTCAAAAACTGTGGCTATTAGTCTAGCCTAGTGATTGCCAAACTGTGACTCTTGCATTGAGACTCTCAGACTGTAACTATCAAGCCTAGAGTGAAACACTGTGACTACAATTGCACACCAGTGAATGCCAAACTGTAAACTAAGCAGTTGTTCTCAGTTCAGTTACTGTGACTGTTCAGATACAGATGTTAAGGCTCTATGAATGTCGATCTAAGTCTCATGTTGAGACATGGCAAAGGATCAATCTAACCTTTCTGACTGTCAAACTGTGTTTACAACTTTAACAAACTAAAGATTGTGACTCTTAAACTGTGAGATCTGAGTCCTTGAGTCTAAATCTGTATGTTCAGTGAATTTTCAACTATGACTCTCAAACTGTGCTATTCAAAAGTTTCCTTCAGAAGCCCTTGGAATTCAAACTGTTCTCAGCTATAGTCAACATCAAACTGTGCTTCAGATGTGCTCTAGCGAAAGTGGCTGTGACTCTCAAACTGTTGAAAGAATCGACTTCTATAGGAGTGTGCACGATGTGACTCTAAAACTGTGACGAATGTGGCTGAGTGTGAGTCTCAAACTGTCGAAAATATAGATTACTATAAGAATATGAACGCTGTGACTCTAAAACTGTTCATTCAAAACCTGTATACAGTCGCTCTGCAACTGTAATGTCGACAAAGCTATTCAAATATATTTTAAAAACAATTAAACTAAAAAAAAAAAACAAGTCAAGTCAGGTCCTGGCGCTGGACAGGCAAACGGACATCGCACAAAATTTCTTTACGCGAGCACGAAACACAAAAGCAACAAAAACAAAAAATAAACAAAAAGCAAAGAATCTGTTGAGTGTTGCACGCGGCGTATGTGGAATCTGTTTGCTTGATATTGCGTATACGCAACGCAAACGCAAAGGCACCGTACGTACTTTCATGGCTGCACTTGAACGATGTTTCGAATAGATTTGGAGTTAATTCCTTTTGAGTTTTTAGTCCTGCGCTGGCTGCTTTGACTGCGCCACGAATCGACACTGACATGACCACAGCTGGCGGCCCACACTTTTATAGCAACTAACAAGCAAATGGCAACTGGCGGCACATTAACCGGAAAAACGTTTTTCCAAAAACCATTCGCTGCGGCATTCGCTATGCTTGTGCGGGCTGCGGGGCGTGGGACGTACGGAGGAGCGGGCTGCAAGGGTTTGTGTTGCGATTTTTTCCCGCCGTTGTCATGATTATTGCCAACTGCAACAATGTATGAGTGTGTCTGTGTATGTGTGTGTGTGTGTGTGTCTGGCAATATGGGCCAAATGCTGCCGCATCATTGCCATTAGGCGAAAGTGAGACTCCAACTCAGAGTCAGACTCAAACTCATACTCTGGCTTCAAATCCAACGGCGACTCAGGCCCCCCTTGCTCCTTACCCTAGTCACAACAGACAACAAACAGTTGCTGCCGCATCCACAGCAGCAGCAGCAGCAGCAGCAGCATCTGCCAGCGACTTGTTTGCGTTGCATCCGCAACGACAGCAGACGCAACCTCAGCCTCGCAGCATTAAGTCTGCACCTTTCTCATTACATAAGCAACGGCTGCTGTTGCTCACAACTTGTTGCACCTTTTTGGCCGTTGTTGCTGTGGTCATTACACCACTTACCTCTGCCTGCCATCAATATCCATTATTGGGCGTTGGCCACTGCTTAGCATACGCAGCCGCTAGTAGATTGCTTCGATCCCAAATTGAATTGTTTCGCTTTAGCATTTCAGCAAAAATGCCCTTAACAATTGCCCAATTGTCTGCCTTGACGGTCGTGTATTCAGCAAACCTTGGTCTAAACGTTTTCTAGCCAACCGCAACACATCGACTTGCCATTGGCTTCCATTGGCTGCGCAGCAGCTGCTTGATCTAGCTGAGCCTCAATACGAAATGCAAAATTAATAAACTAATCAAAATAAATATAAAAATTTTATTTTCATAAATATATATATACTATATATAATATATAATATATATAATATATAATATATAATATATATATATATATAATATATGTATTATTAAAATATATAAACATTCAATTCAAGGCATATAAAAACTCTAAAAAGTAAAAACTGTGTTGAGCTACAGCTCAGTTTTATTTAAATTATAAAATTTATAAAATTAAAAAATATTATATATATAAATTTGTATCTGAATTATAAAGCTAGCATCTATTCGAGTGAGTTAATTTTTATATAAAATATAATATTTCCCTAAAAGTTTTGGAAGTAATATTTAGGCCTTGTTCTTTGAATTGATTCAATTCCTGTTGATTCATGATTCATGAATCCAAAATGAAATGTTTCTACTCATTACCTGTTTTGTTTGAGCCAAATACGTAAAATTTATCAAGACTTTGAGTTCACTGACCTATCATGTTTAAGAACTGGAATTTATAGCTTTCTTTAAACAAATGCAAGCAATATAGACAAAGATATCTATAGCGCAGCCTTCACATTATTTTTATTTAATATTTGCTATATCATTTCAGCCATAGTTCTACAATTTTATATTGCACTCTGTGTTATCCTTCTTAAAATTAAATAAAATTGGGCTCTGCATTATTTCTGTAAGCATTTTTTTAAATTTTTTGTAAAAAACTTAAGTAAAAGTTCGCTACAACAGGATAGCGGAAATTCCATTCTAAATAACTTTGGGTAGACCATAAAATTGATCGGCATTAAAAAAATTAACATAAAAAAATATAAAGCTTAATCTGTGTAGAAAAAATCAAAGATTATAGCCTGACAAAAAAGGGGAAACTATTAAGTATATTAATTTTTAGTCGCTGAGAAAATCAAGTCATTCGCACTACTTGTCTTCAGAGATCCTGTAAAGAGCTGGCGTTAAAGCGGGCTTTGAAAGGACTTAAAAAACTACTTGGAATATGAAAAAAAGAGTGCGACCCAACACTAAATGTTGCACAACAAAGTTTAGTGGCAAGCACAATATCTTACAATCAGTATATAAATATATATATATAAAATATATTTTACACATTTTTAATTAATTTAGATGCTTGCACTTGAGGGATTGAGATAGAATAATGAACTAAAATTGAGTTGTTCATAAAAATAGTAGTGGCTACTAAACAAGAAAAAAAAATATTTAATATCAGTCTAATGTACTCTATTATGTTTTACATATGTTTTTTAAATACTTTTAACACTAAGCTGTATATAAATTATTTTTATTAAGACTCGATGTGCGCTTCGCGCCTCTTCAGGACTTGGTGTCACGGCTTCTGCCTGAGCTCTGCTTGGTGTATGTCTTTGCAGTTGCCACAGCTGTCTTACACCTTATGAAACTATATGCACATATAGCTATATACCTCTCAGTCCATCAATGTCTGGCAATCTATGAGCTATTGACCAAGAGAACAGCATCTAAAACGGAAAATTCTGTTCTTACACCTGCAACACTATGTATCTTTATGTATATCTATTCTACATATTCTACAGTTGGAATGCCTGTTGCCCCTTGCCCAGAGCAGAAGCGTGTATGAAGTGCGTATGTTATTTAGTCAAGTGCCTGAGACAAGTACCACAATTATGATAAGGCGCTGCGCTGCTGATAAGATATGCATTGGGGTCCAAACTATATCAAAGTACTAAGAAAAGCAAACGAACAAATGAACAAACGAATTAAATGCCTAGAAATTGCGCTGACTTCTGTCTTGCCTCAAGTTGCAAGCCAAGCTGAGCTGTTGCCCCTCTCCGTGCAGCTGCTCACGCACGATGCGAATTGCAAAATGCATTTTTGTCAGCGAAATAAAATGCAATCATAAAACTGCAATCAGTCGCCACTTACACAACACACGTGTTGTGCGGGGGCCGAGCGGCAAATGCAAATGGAAATGGAAAAACTGAAAAGCGTTGGAAAACCTCAAATCGCAACCAAAGCCAAATGAAGTGCGGCACAACGCTGCGAGTCATCCCACAACTCCTAATGCCACATGCAACTCATTGAACTGAAAACGAAGCTCAAGCAGATGCAAAGCATATATATACATATATATATATATATATATATATATATATTATATATATATATATATATAAAGAGAGAGAAAAAACCATAGAAACAGCAGCCGTCAACTCGATTGCCTCTTGCGACGGTTAATGGCAGAGCATTTCTCAAAGTGATATAGCAGATAGTTTGTCAAAGTTGTTGGAAGTAAGAGCCATAGCCATAACTCTAATGGCAGAGAGATATATGGGAAATATGACAAATATAATAGCTGGCATCTTGTTTCAATAAATATCACATATTTTCAATCAAACAATTCAATTTGCATGCTCGAGCTTATGAAGATCTGGAGTTCAGTGAGATCAATTTAAGCCTCTTTTATCTAGTTTATAGGAATTATAAACTCATACACTTTGATACCCTCGCCGCATAAAGTTGAAATCATTAAGCTCCACTTTAGATTTGTCTACAATGATATATTTACATGCCCCTTGGGGGCGTGGCTAATCCGGAAAAAATAAATATTTCAAAGTTTCGGAGCTAAAAATTCAAAATTTGACTCGCTCTTGAGACTTATTACAAATGATTCAACTTTTTTTTTGCTTAGTTTTTGAGATCAAAGATAAAAGCAGCAAAAAAAATGTTTAAATATTTCCGATAAAGTTTTATAAAGTGGAACAAGGCATATCATATAGCTGATTGATTGTTGCAAACTAAACATTGGCGCAAAGGTTTCAGAGCGTATTTCTTATAGAGGCGATTGATCAGAAATTGATTTAGTCAATTGTATCGCTTTGTCGATCTCAAATTACTACAGTCACATGATCGATAAAACTTGTTTTTGAAGCTGAGCTTAGTGATTATAATAGCCACACGACAACGTGTTTTTTAATTCCAGGGTATGCGGCAACTAGAGCACGCCCATTTACCTGTTGCTCTGGCTGCCCGCTTAACGAATGGTTTTTTATTTTAGTGCATTTTAAAAGCTGCCAACGAGGAAGCAGCATCCAAAATCGCGACAACCTCGACCTATGTAGCTGGCCCGTGTGTATATGGATGGCTGTGTGTGTGTGGCAAGTGAGCGGCAGCTGCTGCTGTTGCTGCTGTTGTTGCTGCTTCTCTGTAGTGTAGTGGAGCAGCAGGTCAGGCCGCGTCGCTCAAATTGCTGTTGTTGCTGTTGCAGCATAAATTGTGGCTCATTTAAATGAACGCTGTCATCGTAGTTGAAACAAAACTTGTATTTTTTTTTTATTAATACCCTGTAGATATTGTCAGCTAGGCTACCATTTATTTTAGCTTTCGTTTCCCGCAGAACATGTCCCGCTGACTAAATACAGCTCGAACTCGAACTCTCAATGAAAGCAAAATAAAAACTACTTCAAATATATATATATATATATGCTTACAGGTCAACTGATAGTCGTGCACGTCCTATTGTGCGCTGGTACAAATTGCGACGGCTGAACTATGAGCCCGACGACGAAATTGCCGCAACGAATTCGCCGTCGCTCTGCTAAGCCCAGCTAAGCCGTCTGTGTATGCGCGCGTGTGTGCATATGTGTCTGCGTGTGTGTGTGTGTGCTCTCTAGACACTCTTGTTGATACAGTTGTTGCTGTATTGTTTCATATTATTTTTTTTATTTATGTGAATTTGAGGCCGTCTTGCCCTGTGGCAGTATGTACGAATAGTAATAATAATTTCGATCGAAATTGATGATTTCTGTACAAAATGCCACGGCAAAGACAACAACAGCGGCCATCCCTGTCTCTCACAGCGAGTCGTTGAGCTTCCGCCTGTTAGGTAATCTCTTTATGCTTCCTGCAAGGCGAGACAGCAACAAGAGCATGGGGCATCCTGCCTGTGCCATAACGAGCGTACATAATTTATGGCGAGCGTTTATGGCAAGCATTTATAGCGCCATTCTCCACACTCGTCTTCAGACATTGAGCAACAATTTTTACAGTCAAAATTCTTGTAATTTGCAATTTTTAATTTGAGTTTTTTTTTTAAGAAAAACATTCTTTTTTTAATGGGGGGCGTCGACTTTGTTTGCTGAGCCAGGCTTTTGGAATACATGTGAGAGGAGTTTTTGGCGTGACAACAATTTTAATAAAATTAAGATTTAAAAAAAAAATTTAATATATTTATATTTATGTTTAAATGTGTGTGTGTTTGTGTGTGTATGGTAGAGATAGTTGCGCTGCTCCAAGTGCTTCCATTCATAGCCTTACAGACGTCCATAGCGCGCCTGGCTGGGCTTGCGATCCGTAAAGAAGTTGCGCAACACCCAGATTTGGATGAGTCCAATCAGGACAACGGTAACCGTTTCCAGGGATGCCCAGATCATGACACGTTGATTAATGTCCTCGGCTCGTTTACGTCCTTGGGCCTCTCTTAAGCGATGGTGCGTCTGGGCGTCGAGTATGTCGTTAAGTGCTTTGTGTATTGCCTGGGATGAGGTCTCCATTTGGGTGAGCACCGTGGCGTGCTCATCAACGCCTGGTAGTGATGGCTCCTCGCCCACCTGAAAGTCCACGTAGACGATTTTGTGCGAGAACGCAGAGAATTTATTGCTAAAACAGGCCGTATAAACGCCCGTTGTCTCCGCAGTAAACTGATGGCTGTCGAAGGTCGCACGCGACAACGAATAAATTATCTTATTTTGTGGATCCTTCAGCGTCACATCCACATCCTGTTGACCGCCAGCAGACACTTGAAATTCGAAATAGGCACTCGTATTCCGACTGATCTCCTCGTAGAAACAATCCTCGGCATTATCCGCCAAATCGAACGTGAACTCCACTGCCGCGCTGCATTGCAGCAGCGCCATCAGCGCTATCAGCGGCAGCCACAGCATTGAAGTTAACTTTTTGTTATTTCTGCTTTTGCTTAGGTTGATGTCGTTCCTTTGGTTGTTCAGCTGCTCGTCCCGCATCTTACGATCTTCTTCTATTTGGTATGCAGCTGGCTAATGACTAAATAAAGGATTTGCTGCCACGCAACAGCTGTCTTGAGAGTTAAGTTTGCCGGTCGTTCGCTGGAATCTTCGGTATCGGCTTTTTTGCCTACTTTGCACTTCAAAACACGTCCACACACAGACATACACAGACACATAGAGAAACAAAAAATTATTATTGAATTGATTTCCAATTGGCGCGACAAGCGCTGTTACTGTTGCTTACCTGCTTAATACGTTATTGCAACGTTATGTTTTTTTTTATTGCTAGATTTTTGATTGTTGGCTAAATATACCAATGACAAAGTAATTGTATTTAATTTTTCGTAAGACACGAACCAATTGTTCTGTCAACGTGTCAACACTTTTTTTAGTGTTCTCGTTGTGCAGCACTGTGCGAGCAGAGTTGCAAAGAACACGTATGCCTTGTCTAGTCAGTGGTTGTGCTGGGCTGACTCTTACCGTATTTCAAATGTGTAATGGGTATATGATAATATCAACAGTAAATTTTAATTTTAAATTATAGTCACTTTAAGTTATAAATAGGAAACATTAATATAATTATTTGATATTACAGCCACATGATAATATTAAAAACATACTAAAGATTTAACAATAAAAATTCATAATAATTTAATACTATTATAACACTAATGTTATATATAACAGTTAGTTAACAGCAAAATAATTGAGTAGCAAGTATCATGCTGACACAATGGTGTGCTCAAATTGCATTTGGAAACAAAACGTTAATATGACAACGTTCTCTGTGTAATTTTACAACACTAAGCCACAAAATTGAAAATTAAAATTAAGCATTATTTTTGTTTATTTAAATATTGTTTCGGACAAGACAACTTAGTGATTCGCCACCATGCCCGTGGTGGATTTGACAGTCGACCGCAATCTATTGTGTCCCAATTTCGATGGCTACAAGCTCTCTTTTGATACGGTGCCGGTACTGCGCCAATCTTTCCAACGAAATCCATTAAAATTGGAGCCGCATGTGAATCAATATTCGCTGCTGCATGTCGAGCTATTCGCCAAGCACAATTTGCTTTTTTCCGATCCATGGTCCCGGCACAATAGCTACTATATAAATACGGCTCATGAGCTAGTATTATGCTCGTACGACGAGCTGCGCGGCCAGCCTCGTGATCAGCGAGTTGTTTACAAAATGCAGTTGAATGATCATGGAGATGGCCATGAACACTTAGTGGGGGATTACAATTATTCGCTGCGGTTTATCTCCGAGAAGTATTGTGTGGTGTGCGACGGTAAGTTAAGCTATCATCTGCTCGAAACGGGCGATCGCATGCGGAACACCCAATGGCAGCTGGTGACCCGGACGCAAATACAGGTTGATTCATTGAGCCGTGGCTTTGTGCTATACGATGCTCGGCTGGATATTGTGCAGGAGCGTAAGCAAATCTCCTTAGTTGCCGGACACGTGCACCGCGGAGAAGCGGCGGAGAAGCATGTAATGCAGCTTATCTGGTCGCATTGGACGCTGAATCCTCAAACGTCAGCCAATTGGAAGTATGAGCAATGCGAGCAGCTGGAGACAAGCGGCTCCTTATACTACTGCGCCTTTGAGCCGCGCGCTGAATCACTAATAGTCTGCAGCAATGGGCAGCTGCAGACGCAAGCGGCCGCCCAGGAACAGACCAAGGAGCAGTCAAATAAAGCAACCACGCCCGCCTACAGCTGGAGACAAACGGAAGAACATTTGCTGATAGACTTTGCCATGGCAAAAGACACCAGTTGCAAAGATTACGAAATTATCTGTTCAAGTAGTCAGGCGCTAGTCAAGTACCAGGAGCTGGCGCTATTACAGGGTAAATTGTACGCGGCCGTAGAGGAAAACCAGACTAGCTGGAATGTAGAGGGAGACGTGCTGCAGCTGAAGCTAGTAAAACAAATGGCGGAGCAGTGGCCTCAACTGTTGCAAAGCGAAGAGGGACCTAAGGAGCTAGAGATGGAACAGCAGGAGCTGCCAGAAACGGAGCCAGACCGTTTGCCCATACCCAATCTTGAGGACCCCATTGAAGATTGTGATTTTCCCTTAGCCACAGCAGAACAGGATATTAAAATGGGCAAGTATGAAGCACATAAATCCTTACCTAATCTCTCCTAATCTCTCCAAATCGCTTTGCAGTACGCTTCAATCATTGCTGTTCAGAAATTACGCACACAATTTTTATGGGCAATGCGCCGCCGTTGTTTGCCAGCTCGTTGCGTGCTGGCTATCCGGCGGCGTTTGTCACACGTCAGGGCGTAGATGCAGCTGTCTGGCTACAGTCCTATCAGCCATCCAAGCCGGGCGCATGGGGCGTGCGACACGAAGGTAATTTGCATGCCTTTGGCTATGTGCAAGCCTCCAAGCAGCAGCGCAAATTTATTGACTGCTGTCCGCAGATGGACTATGCGGTAATTGCAGAGAGCTATCGTCATGTTTTCATCTATAAGCCTCGTTATGATTCCGCCGGAGGATTACGCAATCGTAACGGTCCACAGGTGGTGATTGGCAAACAAAATTTAGTTACATTGGATGATGACTTGGGCGAAGTGTTAGGATTGGTGACGGCTACAAATGTGATTACTTTGCTCACCGAACATGCTGTTGTCTATCTCCAGGTTTAATAAAAACAAATCGAAGACATAATACAAACATGTATGTGTGCATTTGTAAATAATCATAAAAAATGTTTTACTTGCACACTGGATGGGAGAATTTGATATTTGAAATTTGGTTTAGCGCGCGCGCTTTGCAACACTATCAGCTGATTGCGCTGCCATTTACACCCCATGGTGTGTTCGAGCATTTGCATTGTCTGGCAGCACTACCGCATTGAATGCGTACAACTTTTTTTTTTTTTACATAAATAGCCGCGCGCAGTGGCAGGTTTTCTAGTTTGTTTTTTTTTTTGGAATTTTCTGTTAAATATCGGTGTCGGTATTATTACGCTGGCAATTAGAAATTAACAACGAATAACAACATAGCTGAATAAAACGTAGAACGTTGATATCGCCATAAAATTGAGTTTCAAGTGAATTTTCTAGTAAATAATTGTGTGTGCATTTTAGTGGAATTGTGAAATTGTTGGTAGCGGCTCCATCAGACATCGGATCAGAAGAGAGAATATTAAGCAGTAAGCAAATGGATCGCTAGCGCACTCACACCCATTAAACACGCACTCACATGCACACAACACTTTAAGTATCATCAGTCGTAGTAGCAGCAGCAGCGTCTTCTAATTAGAACAACTTGGTCATACACACATGCTTATGTTCACACATAGGCAAGCTTACATGTGCATACAGTACACACATATAAATAATACAACAGAAACTGAAAGGCACAGCCGTACATTCGTGTTGCTCCTAAATGTACACAAATACATATGCATCTATTATTAACAAATATTAAAATTCTGCATAAGCTTGCAGTCGTAGTCAACGCTGATGTCACAGCTGTAACGGAAGTTACATAGTAAACGCAAAGCAAACCAAATACAAAAAACACGCGGCCTGCACATTTTGTTGTTCTCATAAACACACACATATATTTATATATATGTACATATGTATCTATCTATATATATATATATATATGTATCTATATATATAGACTAATCTAAACGAAATTGTATATGCATTTCTTTTGTTTATTAAGCAAATTGTGAAATCGTGGCAAAACAATCAACTAAAATAAACCACAACAACAAAAACTGAAGTGTAAATTACAACAACACTTACAACTAAATACTATAAACAGCGACAAATCGAAAAAGCTAAGGAATTGCTCGTCAAATTGTCGCTGGTCAGTTGAGTTTGGCCTTTGATTACACAACCAACAACAACTACATCGAAAAGGAACGGCAAAAAAACAATATTCAATATATCAGATTTAAAACGTGTGTGAAAAACATCAGCACGCGGTCACACACACACACATAAAGTTCCATATACATATACACATACAAACACACAGGCGGCGTTAGCGCGCACGAGTAACAGAGACAACGTGAGCAGCACAGCCAGTAGGAGCGAGTACATCAGCACCAACAACAAACAGGTCATTTTGTTGTTCAGCCGACACCGACGCCGACGACGCCGCTAGGCTTTGTTTTTGCTTCTTGTTCTAAAGGCGAGAGCAACAGCTGAGCATCAGCAGAACACAGCAACCAACTCTGATTAGAAAGCACGCGTTTGTTGCTTTTGGCAATATTCTGCAGCATTTGCCGGTAAGTGTTTGTTGTACATCTGATGAGAATATAAGTATTTAAAGTAAACTTAGGGTAGATTTTTTTTTAACAAGTGCGTAATTTCGCAGTAGGTTTGAGTTTTATTGATTTTTGGCTTGTAATTATATGACTATTACTTTTTTTTGTGTTCTCACTGCTGTCCAATTTTCAAGCCGTGTATAACCTTGACATTCGCTTTCCATAGCAATTTATGTGCATACCAATTGGTATGTGTGTGAAGGAGAGAGAGAGCGAGAGTAAGCGTGCAGGCGCTACTTACATACAGTCCAATTGAGTTGTGTCACTAGTGGCCTTGAGCCTAGAAGCTTCTAATTTGATTTTTTAATCAACTTGAAAACTTATCACTGCATATACATACATACATATGTATGTATACTTTTAAATATCGTACGCGATTAATTAATTGCCAGTCACATTTTTGTGGAGTCATTCACATGCCAAATTCGTCTGCTTTATTTTTTTTTAAGCTGAGAACAGCGTGATTTTTTTTATTCTCGATCACTAATTAATTGATAAAGTGCTTCACAAAACTCGAAAAAAAACAATCACGTACACACTCAGATACATATGTATACATTATGATAATATATATGGCTGCTGTGTCGTCACTGACCCATTACTCATGCACTAGTCGCGTGTGATAAACAAAAAGTGGATTACTTTTTAAACGGGTTTATGCATTGTTGCGGTTTCAACGTTGAGAGATAGAGAGAGAGAGAGTGCGGGTGTAAGTTTTGGTTTTGAAGTTCAAGGCACTCCGCAGAGAAAATAAAAGTTGAGCGTCAAGCGGCTGAAAGAGTGCGCGAAAGAGAGAGAGATCAGCTCACACGCATATCAACGTCAATGTGTTGGTATCTGCTCACACATGTGAGCTGCAATTTCACCACAAGAACAAATAACAACACAAACTATAGATAACCGAATGACAACAACAGCAAGCACTAGCAAATTTTCGAATTAGCATATTATGGCTGTGTGCTACAAGACTCGCAAATATCATCGTGAGTCAGCACAAACAAGCGCAAACTCGCCATGACTCACGATAGGGCACGGCACGACACGGAATGATACGGCACGGCACGACACGAATGTGCTTGCACTTGGCCTCGCAAATAACAGTTACGCATAGGCACGATCGATTACTATCGCAACCATTGTATATCCCCTTTATTGTATGCTCAAACACACACATATTAATATATAACTATATTATAAATACGTATATATTTTTATCTATTGTGTGCAAAAGTTGACCTTGTCATTTATTAGTTCATTAAAGTCTGTCTCAATGCCCCTTAGTGGCGTCGTGCATGGGCTAATCGCTTTTTATCAAATGACGACGCAAAAATTAAAAGCAAAAAAACTGAACTAAAGAAGTTTCTCGTTTTTCTGTTTAAATATGAAATTCATTAATTTTCACTTAAGACCAACATTTTGAGGAAAAGAAACCACTCAACAATCGCCCAAAAAAGAAAATGGAATCGAGTACTAGAGATTTATCTGGAATTGCAAATACTCTATGAAAAGTGTGTAGTCACCGAGATATCTATGTACAGCTGTGTTCAATAAAATAGTAGTGCGATGCATGACAACTAAATTTAGTGAAAACAATTTGAAATGAATGTTGACATCATTTATATGGACATTCAACTATTTTTCTGCTAATAAATCTTAGCAAGAAAGTAAATTAAAATGTTTTTAAAAAACATTCTGTTTCCTTTATCAGGAAACGTTAAAGAACTTTCGCGAACTTTTCTGTGCTCATTAAAAAGAAATTATATTTCGATTATGATGAAATATATATTCCATTAAATCTTGTAGCTTAATAGAGTAGAATGACTTTCCTAACTGTTTACTTAGGACCGTTTCAAAAGGTTATCTTTGCACTCAGTAGTCGCAGATCTTAGAGTGAACTGTAAAAGAAAGAAAAAAGAAATTTTCCATTTGGAATGCATGTTCTTTTCGCCCATCTATCGATTATCCGATTGCCAGTTTGGGATTTCGGACAACAGATAAACTTTTATTTCTAGATAGTTCTTTCAAATGTATATAGGCTGATGATAAGATAAAATATTCGAACTTTCATGCTGCCTACAGGGTATCTTGTCGTCGCACCCGCATATTTCAACATGATAAATATAATAAAAGAAAAGTATGATAAGCTGAAATAGACCAACAAACGATTATGGTCCTATAGAAATAGAATATATAGCGGCACATATAGATAGCTGTATCTATATCTAACTGGACCCTAGATAAGAATAACATGTTTTGCTTACATATGTATTTAACATATACCCTATAGTCAGTCAGTTATCTAAGCGTAGTTTTCTCCCATTTGTTGGAATTTCTCTTATGCCCTTAGATAAGGCACCTGTCCAACTTCTAAGGTTTGTTAGTCATAATTTTAACTACATAACCGTCTGTTTTCCTTAATGAGTTTTTCTTGTTGTTGTTGAGTGTAATATAACGATATAACGTTATGGCAAATAGTATCCAGATATATATATATATATATATATATATATATATGTATATATATCTGTATTCCTAGAGAGCTTTAACAATGAAGCTAAATTTTTAGTCGTTAAAAAATAATTTTAGAGACCAATAAACATTCTTTGTTTCTAAATAAATTTTTTCTACTGCGAGCTGATAGTATCCATATATCCTATAAGTTCCAACATTAAGTTTATATAGCAAATAGGGTCAATGCTTATGCGCTCCATTCTTTTCTCTTCACTTTTAGTTTATGATGCATATATATTCCTATATATTTCTATAGATCGTACGCCGCATTCGATTATATGATATGCTCCCTGCTTGTAGCTGTTTCTCCCTCAATTTGCGTGCTCAATTTAGATGCTGCTGCTGCTTAATTGGCACTAGAAATTCAAGCCAATCATCATAATTAGCATAGTTATTGTCACCATCATCGTCGTCATTATCAGTGTGATGACGATTTCAATTGCTTTGCCATCATTCTGCAGTGCGTCATTCTAAGGGCGGCTGATATTTAGCTTGGTGGGGTTGGATTATTTTCACGAATCTATTTGCACATCCGATGAACTGAACGATTGAAATGGCACCAGCAATTGCATAAGACAATTCGAAATGCTCTTTTACTGCTGGAATAATGAAGTATATTAGCTCCATATATAATATACACAAAACAAAAAGCTGTTTGATGGATTTATTTACAAATTCAGGGTATTCGGCAGTCGAAACAGTCTGACTTTTCGTCAGTCTGTCTACGTCTTAGTAACGAAAACCTGTTCAAATAAATTTTCAACAAAATTAAAGAATTATTATAAATAAAAGTTCAACTTTGTTGACAGTTCCATTTGCACAAGTGCTTTAGACAATTTGATATCAGCGTCAATTCCTGTAGGTTCTAAAAATATAAAATCAACAAATAAGCAACAAAAACGGGATCAATATATAAAAGTTATAATGAAGAAGATACTTATTCTATTATTATTGGCTTTATGCGTGTCGGTTCTTATGAGATTTCTCTTGGTCGAGCCCCGCAGAAGAACACATGAAATCAAATTCTATATATAAGTCTATGTATATATATATATATATATATATATATATATATATATATATATATATATATATTTATATGCATATATATACATATATATAGCTATATATATAACTGATAATAAAAACAATTATTGAGCATGAAAATACAAACTGTTTTCATCTTCAGTTAGTCCGGCACTTGACTTGACTTGACTTTACTTGTGAAATACCCGCAGTTCATATTTATTTTTAACCATTGAAATAGCTACCGAACCGGATCGGCTCAAGAAATCGAAATCTGTGGATTCGCTCAATCAGTTAAGCAATCAATCAACATGGAAGTCAGTAAATCAAAGCGTCAATCAGTCAGTCAGATGATCAAATGGCCAGTCATTGAGGAATTAACTCAGTCAATCAATAGTCCATTTGTGACTCAATCCAACAGACACTCACTGATCAAGCTTGATCAAGCACTCGAATGGTCAAACGACTAGTCGATCTATTAATAAGGAACTCGGTCAGTCATTCAATCATTTTACTATAACAATCAATCAGAAGATTGTAAAATAATCTATCATTAATGCAATCCAATTGCCAATCAATCAATCAATCAGTCAATGAATTGTCAGTCCAGTTACTTGTTCAATCAGTCAAATGGTTAATCTATCAATCAATCAGTATATCAGTCAGTTGGTTTAACTTTTAGAAACTAGATCAGTCTATCAATCAGTCAGTTGCTCAATCAACCATATAGTCATTCGGTATAGCAGCGAATCCTTCCATTAGTTCATCATCAGATTCGAACACAGCGAATCAGCTGGTCAAACTGTCAATCTAAGAAAGAGTCAAGCAAATAGTTAGCCAGTCAATCTGTAACGTATTGTTGCAATCGATGAATTGCTTAGTTAATAAGTTAATTGATGAATCAAGCAGTTAATCTCTTAGTCAATCAGCAGTCAGTCAATCAGAGCAAATAGCAAAAGCAATCCGAGCATTTGTCCCATTGACAGCTACCAAATTTAGAGACGCATTTTCACAAATAACTCAGCAGACATAAATACGTATATATATACATGTATACATGTATACATATGATTGAGTAGCTGTGTATGTCCACACTCGACTTATCTATGCAATAATATACCCTCTGCTCTCTGAACGGGCTCTTACAATTCTATTACGTCGCAATTGTTTTTTCTTTTTCTTTTTTGTTTGTTTTTTTTTTTTCTTTTTTGTTTTTGTTTCTTTTTTTCGTGTTTAGTGTCGGCCGACACTTAATTTGATTTTCCTCTTTCGTCTTCTCCTTCTCAGTGTCAGTCTACGTCTGGTTCTCTGTTGTTTTTTGCTAGCATTCGTAATTTTGCTCGTTTTATGAGTCGTATACGTAATCTGTCCTAATCTTGTATGGCGTGCAATTATTTCAAGTGCAACGACTGCAATTTCCTCTA